TGTATAAGTACTCTCTCAATATACTATTTCCATATTGGCTCTAGCCCAGGAGCCTATACAGGAAAGACCTCTTTCTCCCAGAAACAGGAGATATATTCCTTTCCTGGAGTAATGAGCACACTTTCCATTGCTTCATTTAAAGCCCGCCTTCCCTAGCAGCAAGTCCAAATGCCCTCTAACTTTGGTTGACAGCTTCATATTCCATAACTGCCTTCACCCACAGTAGGTTCTCAGCATATCCAAATTTATACCATGACAGAAAAATACTACTCATGCTGTGTCACTTCTCTCTGGAACATCTTTATCTTACCCCTCCTGCTAAATAGTTCTCAAGAGTCTATGAGGGCTGGCACCGCGGCTCAATAGGCTAATCCTCCACCTGCAGCGCTGGCACACCAGGTTCTAGTCCCAGTCGGGGCACCGGATTCTGTCCCAGTCACTCCTCTTCCTGTCCAGCTCTCTGCTATGGCCCGGGAGTGCAGTGAAGGATGACCCAAGTCCTTGGGCCCTGCACCAGCATGGGAGACCAGGAGAGGCACCCGGCTCCTGGCTTTGGATCAGCGCGGTGCACCGGCCGCAGTGGCCATTGCGGGGTAAACCAACGGAAAAGGAAGACCTTTCTGTCTCTCTCACTGTCCACTCTGCACGTCCAAAAACAAAAGAGTCTATGCAGTATTTCCTGATTTTCAGAGGGGCTGCTACTCTGTGCCATCATCGACCTTATGCATACCAAATTTATTCTAATATATGACAAAACCATGACTAATTTTATTCAATTTACTGTTAATATTCCGAGTAAAAGGGCCATGTCTATGACCTATCCCACTAGTACCTGGTGTGCTGATTTATAAGGAGGTATGTGGCAAAAAGCTGTTGACTACAATACATGCCTATTGAGAGATGACTGAAATTTTTCATTACTGGAAATGTTACCAACTTTGGGAATTTTTGCTTTGTCTCATTTTAACTTAGCACAGACACAGGTAGCATTATTGAAATTATTTAATGTACATTTAACATTCACTTTTGTGGTGACCCTTCATTAATTCCTGTTGGCCAAAAGCAAGCTGTGGTTCCGCAGTGTGCCGGCTGGTGGATCAGCACCATGGACAGAGGAATATTCTGCAAAAGGTGGCTCTAAGGTTGCTTGTAAAATGACAGCTCTGAGATCAGACGTTCTACAAAGATTGCTACAAACATTTCTCTGGGAATTACGGGAACAGAGTGCCCTAGGTTTGACTAAACACAGACAATGGAAGTCTGGAGGAAATAACCACTCCAAGATGTCTCCAAGTAGCATGACCCTCACTTACGACCTGTATGGAATCACTACTTTTGCAACAACCTGCTCTTCTGTTCCTAAGGGACATTTTAATATGGAACTAAATGTAAATACCTAATTGGCAAATGAAGGTGTCTGTGACCCTTTTACCTTTTGCAAACCATTCGTAAAATAAGCTTTAAAAAAATGATATCGAAGAACTGTTGATGCAATTGGGAGTGTTTAGGATGGGAGTCAAGTTACATTTAAAATCACAGTCCTTGGTTTTCTGCAATACATTCTGACAAAATAATATGGCATTCAAGACTTGCTTTGAAATGTAAGGAAGACAAGTGTTACAATTGAATAGCGGAGCAGTTTGAGTGTCCCCTCATGGCTCATTTATTGAAGCTTTGATTCCCAAAGTCTTATGTTAATGGTCAATCGATTAAGGATGGAGAATTGACACAATCATGGGATCCAAAAAAAGGTGGGCCCAGTGGGAGGTCTTTAGGTCATCGAGTGTGGGGATGGTGGGAGAAGGGAGCACACCCTTAGAAGGTAGTTCTTGCAGGAGGGTTGGTTTTATAAGTCAGGTTTGACCTAGCTCACTCACTCGCTCTTGCTCTCTCTGCATCCTGGCTCACCATGGGATATTCCTCAGTACACACTAAACCACTGCCAGTCTCTGTCAAACATCAGCCTAAAGGGGCCCACCTGATTGAAGACTTTGAACCTCCAAACTGTGGCGAAAACAACCCTACTTCCTCCCTAAGTAGCCTTCCCAAGGCATTATAAAGCAACAAAATTATGAGTGATGTAAGATTGGCCATGAGTTGCTCATTTTTAAACCAGAGGACAGGAACACGAGTTAATTCTTTTTTATATGTCTGTGATTTTCCATTAAAATATCTATATACAAATTTATAATATATATGTATATGTATCCAGTGCATATGTTACTGAGGCCACCAAAACATATCATTCCTGAAGATCACAAGGGATCCTAAGGGATAATGGGAGAGCAAGCCCATACACTCAATGCTACAAGAGAAGCATTAAGAAACCTAGGCTATTACTGTCCTGCACACTTGAGATGTAGTGTTGTGCGATTCTGCAAAGTACAAAGTTCTGCTATCTAAGGATGATCACTTTCTTCTGGAGAAGATACCTCGAGACCAGTTTCTGAGAAATGACCCCTTTCCATGCTCTTCCCCTGACAAGCAGCAGCTGGGAGCAGCCTGAAGTAGCAAGGGCTGGAGCTGGGTGTTAAGGGTCAGATACCAGCTTGAGGTGGTGTCTGCAAGGTCCAAAACAACAAAAATATTGTTTAAATATAAACTGGGATATAAAAAAAGTAGGACCACGATATGATGTCAAGCACATTGGCATGCACTGATACATGAAAGAGCAGATAGGTACTAAAGGAAGACACACCTCAGTGACTTCCCCAGTGGAAATCTACTAGGGGCTTTTTTGCAAAGCACCCACGTGGAACCAGCAGAGAGGATGGTGGACAAAAGAAGAAAATAGATGCACAGGCATGCATTTATCCTTGCAGCAAAGATGCCAGCTAAGATGCCTGCGTTCCCTATCAGAGGACCTGGTTTTCATACCCAGCTGTAGCTCCTGACTCCAGCTTCCCAATAACACAAACCCTGGGAGGTAGGCAGTGACGGTTCCAGTAGCTGGGTTCAAAGTGGGAGACCTGTATTGAGTCGCCAGCTCCTGGCTTTGGCCCTGGCCAAGCCCTGGGTGCTTGAGGCATTTGAGGAGGGAACCAGTGACAGAAACCACGAACACATGGACTTGCCCAGAGGCTCTGAACAGTAGAAGAGGATCTATGGTATGGACTATGCAGAACACACTGTTCTAAGCTCCCAGCACAGAGTGGTTAAAAAAAAATATTGCTTCATTGATGGGAGAGACAGATAAATATATCTGCCAATAATTTAAAATTGTGACACTATCACCTAAAAAGACTAACTGCCAGCTTCCTTAAAAGATTCAGATGTGGTAAGGCTCTGTCCTCACGCCAGCATGGCAACAAGAGGCTGGACATGAGGGCTGCTTCCTTCAGAGAGAACATGTGGCCTCTGGTTCTCTAGTACCCACCATTCCCTATTTATTTATTTGAAAGTCAGAGCTACACACAGAAGGAGAGGCAGAGAGGTCTATCCGCTGGTTCATTCCCCCAGTTAGTCGCAATGGCCAGAACTAAGCTGATCCAAAGCCAGGAGCCAGGAGCTTCCTCCAGGTCTCCCATGTGGGTGCAGGGGCCCAAGGACCATCTTCTGCTGCTTTCCCAGGCCATAGCAGAGAGCTGGACTGGAAATGGAGCAGCCGGGACTCAAACCAGCGCCCACATGGGATGCCGGCACTCCTGGCCGCGGCTTTACCCACTACACCACAGCGCCGGCCCCTCTCTATTGTCTTAATCTCTGCCTACCTCTATCTCTGCGACCTGCCTGCGCTCTGGCGTCTTTCGAGTTTCTGACCCATTCTCTAATGTCCCTGAGCTGTTGTGATACATCCCCTAAAACCAATCGGCCCAAGAGCTTGTAGAAAACCCTGTTATCTCTCTGAATGTTAGTTGCCTCAACCTGCAGTGTCCTTGGGAAGCTACGTCGCTTTACTTAGGTATGAATACCCTGAACTCAGGAGACAATCATCTGCTTCCGGGCTTTTTATGGGGACCGGGCTCTGCCTAATTAGCTCTTAGCCTTGTCTTTGTACCTATCTAGCCAAGCGTCTTCAAAGAAACCTTCGCAGACCTCCTGAAGAGACCAAATCCCCCTAATACACCCAGGTCTCTCTCAGCGACAAGTGCACGAATTCGCGGATGGCCTGAACAATGTCTGCCTCTCCCACCTCAACAGGGGCAGAGGGCCCGGGGTTTCGCTCAAAACCACCTGTCACTCCTTCCTACCCGGCACACACCCCAAGCGCTCAATAAATAACCATTTTAAAATTTTAGAAAGTTTCAAGAAAGGAAACTGCGTAGTCACTAGCAGTTGTGGGCATACAGGTGCCCCACAGCCTCTCTGAAGCGCCCTCCCACGCCTCGGGGCGCTGCTAGCATTAGCCCACGTTGTAACTCGGACTTTAGGATCGAGTCACTAAGCTGTGTTTCCTAAGGAGCTGCCACCTCCAACAGGGCCGTCTGCCCTCGGATGCCTGCCGAGGGCCCAGAACGCTGCCTGGTAGACAGGAAGTGCTCGGGGACCACCAGCTGGACGGGCCGGCTTCCCGGAACGCCCGCACCTAGCGGGGGCTTCAAGGGGCGGCCCCTCTCGGAGGGAGGGAGCTGGACAAGGTCAGAGAGAGACTCCGGCCCAGGCATTCCCTCTCCCTGCCACCTGCCAGGCCCCAGGACTTCCTCGGGAAGTCAGGACAACACCTGGGGCGGCCGGCTGGGGCCGGGGGCGCCCCTCACTGGGCCTTGCAGAACCTGCGCCGCGTCCCTCTGAGGAGGACAGCGCTGCCCCGAGGTTCGGCCACAGCCCGGGTCCGAACCCCAAGCGCGGACTGCGAGTTGAGACCAAGGCTGCGATCCCTCCGCCAGGCAAAGTAGTCCCCCCTCCCCACCCCCACGTCCTCCCTCAGCAGCAGAAAGGACGCAACGCCGCCGACAAAAGCCTCCGCCTCACAAAAGCTTTTTCCGCTGCCCGACATTCCCCCGCTGGAGGAGGAACCCACTCCCCTTTCTCTGTCACGTACAGCCGCCCCACAGTGCCACTGTGTCCCTCCGCCCCGGGGAAGACCCTCCGAGGCCCTCAGCGGCAAGTCGCCGCGCTACGCGCTCTCGCGAGAGGCGGCCACGCAGTACCCTTCCCCCAGCCCCTCGCCCGCTAGGAAGCCGCGCGCGGACCCCACGGCGCGCGGGTCGCGGACGGCGCATGCGTGGCCGCGGCTCCCAGCGCCCTTCGCGCAGTCCGCGGGGCTGAGCGGACGGGGCAGAGCGGACGAGGCAGAGCGGTGGGCGCCGGCCGGCAGCCGCCCCCTGCGAGGCCCCGCTTCGGCTCGCGGCTTTTTCTTTTTTTTTTTTCTTTCTTTCTTTCTTTCGCTCCTCTCCGGAGCGGAACCGCGTTGCGGCCTTTGATCGGCGTGAGGAGGTTTTCCCGGGACTGTCGGGGTGATGGAACATTGCCGGGCTCCACGAGACAGCCGCAGCGGCCCGGGCGCGCCTCAGTGACCAGAGGCCGGAACCCGAGGCCGGGCGGGGCCCGCACATCCGGCCCCACCCACCGGGAGTCCCCGACTCCGGGGTGTCTGACACACCCCTCTCGTGGCAGGCCGCCTGCACCCCATCTCCCCTCAGTCCGCTAGGTTTCCTCCTCCCCGTTTCCGACATTGCACTAAAAGGGATGCACCCTGGAAAACCAAGTGGCAGGGACACATTTTGTTTGGGGAAGAGACTAGGGTTTTTTTTGGACCTTAGTGTCCCCGGTCACCTTTTCAGGGGCCTAGGATAGATTTGGTTAAGGCACCTGGGCGGGCGGGGAGAGGGGGTACCCTGTTCTTGCCAACCCGGCCGTTTTTACCTCCTCACCTTCCCACACTTTGAAGAACGAGCAGAGAGCACATCCAGGACCCCGCTTTAAGCTAGACGTGAGCATGGCCGCAGCCCTGAATTCTCACATCGACGCCTCCCTGGAGGTGGATGGCTGTGTCATCATGAAGGTGGAAAAGGCCCCCGAGTGGGCATCGGAGCCGGTTCTAGAAGAATCGGGCAGCTCCGAGTCTGAGACCTTTCGCAAATGCTTCAGGCAGTTCTGTTACGAGGATGTGACCGGGCCCCATGAAGCTTTCAGTAAACTCTGGGAACTTTGCTGCCGGTGGCTGAAGCCGGAAACGCGTTCCAAGGAGCAGATGCTGGAGCTGCTGGTGATCGAGCAGTTTCTCACCATTTTACCTGAGCAGATTCAGGCGTGGGCGCAGAGGCAGTGTCCGGAGAGCGGAGAGGAGGCGGTGGCCCTGGTGGTGCACTTGGAAAAAGAGACTGGAAGACTAAGACAACAGGTGAGAGAGGACCTTGCAAAATGTTGTGTTCATAAAGAAGGGGGAGGAACAGGGAGGTAGACCGGGGAGCCTTGCAGGACGGGCTGCCTGTGGAAAGATGAACGAAACTACTGAAAATCTTTCAAGGGAATCCCTGTAAAAGAGAGTCAGGATTTCATATTGAGTAGGAAGAAAGACTTTGATTGAAATATTATCTTGAAAGTAAACGTTATGCACTCGTGTGTGTAATCTTTGGTGTGATGTTTCCAACAAGGTAACAGGAAAGGAGATATGGTTATGTATGCTTCACAGAGTTTGGCTTTTGCAGCTTGCTCCTAAAAGGGTGGGGGAGAATCATCTGTTATCCCGGGGCCGGCTGTAGCCCTTTCATATTCCAGTGAGTGTTTTCTGAAGTGTTCCCAGTGCCGCCATCCTTGCCACTCTCCTCCCGGTTAACGGGCAGGTCTCCGTGTCTCAGGGGCTTGGCATGCTCTTCTGTCTTTCAGCATCCTTTTCACTGACCTCGTGAAATCCCGCAGCATTCGCAAGATCTGCAGTTCCGCCTTGCCCGGGATTTGCGCTGTGTGAAGATCTGACTAACAGCAAGTTGCTGTGTTGGTCAGGGATGGCCAGATAGCTGTGAGGATGGGATTTGTAGTTTCGCTAGTGAATATATCTGTGTTCTGATCACTTTTATTCCCCCAGTACACCTTACATGAGGACTCAGCGTCTACTCTAGGAACAAGGATGCTCTGTCACCCCTGACAGATTTCCCCCACTATACAGTAGTCAAAGTAGCCTCCTCTTCTCCTTTGCCCAAACTCATGGCCGTTACTGTTAACCCAATACCCTCAGAGACTCTACTGGGAATGGAGTGAAATGTTTATTCCTTCTCATGTCTTCTTTCATTTGGTATCTTTTTTGGAGGAGTTTGGACCTCTTCTCTTCCCTCTTTCCATTTTGGCATTGACCTTGTTCCCCAGGTCAACAGTCCTGTACACTCAGAGAAGCAAGCCCCACTTGGAGACGCCTGGGAAGTAACAGAATTTCAGCCAGAACGAGTGACGAACCAACACAGGGTGGTGTCTCGGGAAGACGCTGGAAACCTTCGTTCAGAGCGCCAGGAGCAGCTGAGCCAAAAGAGAGAGCAGCAGCTCTTAGCCAGGACTGGTAAGTGCAGATATGCTGGCAGATGGTGTCACTGTGCCTTGCTTAGTGTAGGGTCCCTCCGATGCATATTTGAAAACAAAGTGAATATTAGCTTCAGGAGTTGGGAACACACACAAATCCAGACATCACAGAGGTGGCATGTGAAAAGGGTTACCAGTAAGCTAAGACTTCACCGATGTCGGTAGCTTCCCTAGACCTTAAAGAATCAAATATAAGGAGATGAACACCTGTTCCACCCAGTCTCCAGTGATCTCTCCGTCCCCTGAAGTGTGTCTCTATCTCAGACTTAAAGAGAGGACTGGCAAGATCACAGGACCTAGAAGCAAGACTTTCACTCCTTGTGATCTTAAGCAAGCAGTACGACAGAGAGCATTAATGCATCTAAGTTAAAAGCTTGGTCTTTAAAGGAAAACAGACCTGAGTTCAAAACCTGACTCTTCTGTATTTCTGTGTGGCCTTGGTCAGGTTACCTAACTTCTCAAACTTTCTGTTCTCCCATCTGTAAAAGGAAAATACCACCATCATTACTGTAGACCAAATGAGGCAGCATGAAAGAGCCAATGCATAATAGTGCCTGATAAGTACTAGTTTCCATTCTCTCTTAATGACCTTTTAAACTCCAGTTCTGTCTGGCTTACACATCCCCTTACCAAGAGGCAAGATTCACCACGACCATACCCCACCCTTTCACCCCAAATTCACATTATGATAGAATGTATTGAAAATATCCATGGTTTCTAAATTACCCAAAGTATGTTTACTATCATCAAAGCCCCCGTGTTCACATGGTATAGAAGACCCCATGATGTTAGCTGATAAGCTTAGTACAATAAATACTTATTTATGGTGTTTCTGGATTTTGCATGATAAGGAATTCTTAAACTGGAAAGTTTGTGTTGAACAAACTATTGGTATAGGAAATCAGAAATTTTGAGGACTGCATGGAAAGGTGAATTCATTTTAAAGGAAGATGTGTGAATTCAGCCATTTGTGCCTCGGGAAATAAGTTTCCAAGGAAGTAATTCCGTTCACATCTATAGAAAGTCCTGGAGTAAGCTTTTCAGTTCTTGGTCACAAGTGGCAGTTACAGAAGAAGTTACTTTGCAGGTTGTGCTAGGTACAGGTGTTTACATCTCCCTTCCACCCTCAGAATGGTGTGTCTGCCTGCAATGCGCACTGCTGTGTGTCTGTGGATACTGAGTTCTTAGGACAGTACTCACTCAGGGATTAATTCATACTAGAAATCTCAAGCTGGTAATTTGTCCGCCAAGTCAGACTTGTTTTGTGTTACCTACAGTTTTGGTTTGGAGGCTTTGTTGGTTTTAGTTCTCAAAGGGGTGAGAATTGAGATCTCACAAATATCCAGATTTTCTTTCTGGCTTCTTTTGAAAAAATAAGAGGCTCTGTCTCTCCCATAGTTCCATCGTCTGCAGCTGAGCATTGGCTGTGCCCTTTTTGTGGGACCTGTGCTTTCCAGTTCCCCACAGTCCTTACTCAGCGCCTTTATCATGTGCTTTTCCAGTTTTTTCCCTGAAAGCATTTGAGTTTGTGAGTCTGGCTGCAGGGCCCTTTTATTTGGGGGCATTGCTCCAAACTCATTGAGAAAATGATCCATTCATGTCTGTTGGGTTATTTTTAATATACACTCATAGAAGGAGAAGCAGCATGAATGAAGGGGCCAGAGCCCAGAGTACTAATTGTTTCTCTTTCTGTAGCTCGGCCTTCTGCCTGGGTTGCTGTTGCTGCCGATGAATGGAGCATTGTAGATCAGGAAGTGACAGCCACACGTCTTGCTGCTGCGCCCCAGGTAAGGCAGTTGCCCTCTCTGGCTCTCAGATGTTCAGTCACACATTCTGTGCCTTCGCAATCTTCAGAAGTTTACATTCCCTACCAAAGACCTTGTCCTCATCCCTTTTCTGGAGAAGACTGAGCCCAGTCTTCTGAGAAACAGGACCCCTTGCTGAGTCACCTCTCGTGTCTCAGGATTCTTGAGTGTATCTTCAGCTTCATCTGGCACGTAACATGAACTTGGTTCCTTGATTCCAGTTCTTCTTTAGGGCTCTTCTCGTCTTCAGCCAGGATCGTTTGTGCTTGGAGGACCCATGCAGTTACCATGGTAGTCATTGGTGTTAGTGTTGTTGCAGGAACCAGTGAAAGGTGTCCACGTGACAAGAGGTTTTCCCTACAAAAAGAGCCTGCATCAGATTCCTGCTCACAGAGACCTCTGCCGGGATATCAGGAGGGAGAGTGGCAGGAACGTGGTCTCCTTGGGTAAGCCCCTTTTCAAAGAAAAGACTTGGGGATTTGTAATATACTCATTTCTACTGTTGATGATACATGTTAACACCTAAAGGATCTCCATGGGTTATCATGTCACTTATCCATTTTCTCTTACCTCACCCATTTCCTCCTTCCAGTAAAATATTTATTAAGTTTATTAAATTATTTATTATTTAAATAATTAGTATTTAATGATTAAAAATTGAAGAGGAGCTGTATATGACTATCCTATTTATATTATTAAAAATATTATTAAAAATTTACACTCACCCACTAGACTAAAAGCTCCAGAAGTCGCACGGTCTTTTCAGAATTTGTTTTTATTTTACCACAGCAACTACAGCACTTGGGACAGAGCTGGACACATGGGTGCATGCCCAGTAAATATTTGCTGGATGAACGGAACTATTCACAAAGGAAGGGGGGTGGGAAGCAACCTTAATAGCATGTGGTGAATTATTTGAAAAATGTTTTGCATATGTAAGAGGCAGACACACAACAAGAGAGAGAACACTCCCATCTGCTGGTTCATTCCCCAAATGTTCACAGTGGCTAAGGCTGAGCTAGGTTAATGTTGGGAGCCAGGAACTCAGTCTGGGTCTCCCACATGAGCGTTAGGGACCCAAGTACTTGAACCATCACTGCTGCCTCCCACCATGTGCAATAGCAGAAGGCTGGAGTGAGGAGGATTAGGATTTGAACCCAGACACTTCTGTGGCGCATAGGCATGTACACCCACTGGGTGTCATTCTACAAGCAAACCTTTGGAGAATTATCTTTATCCACTTTAGCGTTAGAGATAAGGTGTGATTCATTCATATGTGAACTTTTATTCATAAGTCAAAAATTTTTGTGAATAAAATTATAGGTCAGAAATGTACACTAATCCATATTATAAATGCTGTATAAGTGCTTTTTAATAGGTAGCCACCAACCACATGTGGCTATTTAAATGTGCTGCCTTAAATAAAAATTCAGTTCCTCAGTGGCAACAACTATGTTTAAGACATTTAATAGCTATATTGGACAACACTATGACAGAATTTTTCCTTCATCTCCGAATGTTCTACTGGCAAAGCCACATACAGACATTACACATACAGAGATTATAAAGTGAACACTCTCAGACTGAATGGATAAAAGTAAACAGCAGTGTTTATCATTAGAAAGCAGTTGAAGTAGTAGAAAAAATGGCTAACTTCAGATGTCACATGACTAACAAAGCACTCTTCCCTGCTCTCTCCCTGCTGCATACACAATACATGTCTCCCTACCATTTCCTTGGAAATTTCACACAACATCCGGATCTAGTAAAATCCTACACTAGAGTCCTTGGGAAAGTCTGCTACTTCTGGGAATGGATCATTCTTTGAGAATTCAGATTTAGCCTAAACCATAATTTCATATGAAACAACCCAGTTCCAGAGACACCTACCCCTGTCTTTTATTGCAGATTATAAGCTGGTGGCTTAAAAGCTGATTCTGGCATGTGAATATATTTTGGCCTGCCTGGTGCTTTAATGTAAAATAAGTTTATAAATCTGAATTTCCACTGTATCTTTATAAATCCAACTTGAGCACCATGAGCCCACCTTCCTGTATGGCAGCAGTTGGCCAGAGCTGAGTAAAGGGTTCATGCTCAGTTATCACCCCAGCCACCTTCTCATTGGCTTGGCCTGCCCAGTCCCTCAGGGGTGTGGACTTACATTGTCTCCATACCTGCTTCTCTGTAGAAATGGAGTAAATCTCCATCTCCAGGGTGCTGTCAGAGGGTTCCGTTTGCTATTGCTTCTGTAGAATTCTGAAGCTTCTATGTGTGTTGTCTGGGAAAGAAAGCTGAATGTTAGACACTGCCTATCGGGCTTTGGATGATTTCTAAATGTGCATTTATCAAATTTTTCCAGGACCTGTTGGAATAGATGATATCATTCTCCAGGAAACTGAGACTTAGAGAGGTTAAGAAACTTGTCCTGATCAAAAAGTCTAGTAAGCAATGTAGCTAAGATTCAAATTTAAAACATGGGAGCCAGAACTATGGCATAGCAGGTAAAAGCCACCGCCTGCCGTGCCAGCATCCCCTGTAGGCGCTGGTTCTAGTCCCAGCTGCTCCACTTCGGATCCAGCTCTCTGCTATGACCTGGGAAAGCAAGAGAAGGTGGTCCAGTTCCTCGGGCCTCTGCACTGACATGGGAAACCTGGAAGGAGCTCCTGGCTCCTGGCCATTGCAGCCATTTGGGGAGTAAACCGGTGGATGAAAAATCTCTCTCTCTACCTTTCTCTCCCTCCCTGTCCCTCCCTCTCCCTCTCTATCCCTCTCTGCCTCTGCCTCTCTGTAACTCTGCCTTTCAAATAAATAAATATTTTAAAAAAGAAGACAAAAAACATGTTGATCTCTTCAGTATTATCACATTGCAAACTATCAATTCCAATCCTACTCTTACAGCTCTTACTAATTAGCCTTTCCAGAGTGTCTCCAAAAGATTTTTTTCAGTTAATGAAAAATTTTGTTTAATAATTACTTATTAAAAATGCTTATTTCAGAATATGACATTGCAGATAATATTCCCCCTTCATGTAATGAAAACTGGAGTTCACTATCCTTGAGGGAAAGTTATCTTTTAAGTGGCTTAGGATAATAAGCTAAGTTATAAATCTCTTCTGTACCTCCCAACCTCCTTAAGCAAAACAACTCCATGTTGTGTTTTTTTTAAGATTTATTTATTTATTTGAAAGGCGCAGTTACAGAGAGGCAGAGAGAAAGAGAGAGAGAGAGATTGATCTTCCATCCACTGACTCTCTCTCCAAATGGCCACAATGGGTAGAGCTGAGCTGATCTGAAGCCAGGAACCAGGAGCTTCTTCCAGGTCTCCCACATGGGTGCAGCGGCCCAAACACTTGAACCATCTGCTGCTTTCCCAGGCCATAGCAGAGAGCTGGATCAGAAGTGGAGCAGCTGGGACTCAAACTGGTACCCATATGGGATGCCGGCACAGCAGGCGGCAGCCCCTCACATCATTTCTTTGATATGTGTATTTATGGACCCCCATAACTGTTTGAAAATTAGATTCTCCTGTCAAAATTTTTCCAGCTTTATTAAGGTATAATTAACAAATAAAATTTCATGTACTCATTTAAGATGGACAACTTGATGATTTTATATACGTATACATTGTGATTTACCACAGTCAAGTTAATTAACACAACCATCACCTCATGTAGTTGTGTGTGTGTATGTGTGTGTGTGTGGCAAGAACACTTAAAGTAATTTCAAGTATACAATACAGTATTGTTGACTAGAGTCATTTTGCTGTCTATTAGATCCCCAGAACTTAATCATCTTACAGCTTTGACCAGCATGTCTTCATTTCCCTGCCCCCAAGCCCCTGGCAACCACCATTCTGTCTTCTCTGTGAGGTCAACTTTTTTAGGTTCTACATATAATTGATTTTTTTTTTGTTCTTTGGTTTTTTTTTCTTTTTTTTCTAGGTTTTACATATAATTGAGATATATGAGTACAACGTTTGTCTTTCTCTGGCTTATTTCACCTAGCATAATGCCCTCCATTCATCCAAATGGCAGGATTTCCGTTTTTATGGCTGGATAAATATATTTTCCGTGTTTTTATGTTTTGTTTATTCATTCATCTGTCAGCAGACACCTGGATTGTTCCCATGTCTTAGCTATTGTGAATAATGCTACAGTGAACAAGGGAGGGCAGACATCTCCTTCAGATACTGACTTTGTTTCCTTAAGAGGTAGACCCAGAAATGGGGTTGCCGTATCATACAGTAGTTCTGGTTGTAATTTTCCAAGGCACTGCTACGCTGTTTTCCATAATGCCTGTACCAGTTTACATCCCTGCCAGCTGCACACAGCGGCCTCCATTTCTCTGCAACACCAGCACTGATCTTGCTGTTTTCTAAAACTGCTAATTGTGTACATTGATGGAGTATGGTGTGATGCTTTGATACATGTTTGCATTTTGGAATGAGTAAATGAAGCTAATTAACAGATCCATCAGCTCACATACTTGTTTTTTTGTGGTGAAAACATTTAAAATCACTTAGCAGTTTTGAGATTTACAATGTGTTACAGTAGCTGCCATTCTGTACAGTAGATCAACAAAGCTAAGTCCTCTTGTCTGGAATTCTGTACCGTTTTATCAACATCCCTTTCCTCACCCTCCCCCAGGCTCTGGTAACCACCATAGCACTCTCTACTCCTGTGAGTTTGACTGTTTTAGATACTCCAGATATGTGAGATCGTGCAGTGTTTATCTTCCTGTGCTTGGCTTATTTCACTTAGCACAGCGTCCTCCAGTTCATCCTTGTTGCCACAGATAACAGAATTTCCTTCTTTTTTTGAAGCTGAGTAGTGCTCTATAGTGTATGTGTGTCACATTTTCTTCGTGCATTAATCTAATGAAGATAACCTAGGTTGTAGGTATTTGGGGAGTGAACCAGCAGATGGAAGACCTCTCTCTCTTGCTCACTCTCTCTGCCTCTCCTTCTCTCTTTGTGCAACTGTGACTTTCAAGTAAAATAATAATAAAAAAAAATTTAAAAGAGAACCTACCTTCTGGTTTCTGTAATAACTATACTGATATACACTTCCATCACCAGTGCACAAGGGTTCCATTTTCTCCATATCCTGGCCAACTCTTGTTACCTTTGTCTTTTTGATGATAGCCATTCTGACAGCTGGGAGATGATAACTCAATGTAGTTTTGATTTACATTTCTCTAATGGTTAGTGGTGATAAGCACCTTTTCATCTTCTCATATACCTGTTTGCCATTTGTATGTCTTCTTTGGGGAAAAAAAAAAGTCTGTTCAGGTCCTTTGCTCATTTTAATTAGGTTATTTGTCTTGGTTTTTTTGTGTGATTTTTGTTTGTTTGTTTTGGTTTTTTGTGCTTTGAGTTGCATGAGTTCCTGATATATTTTAGTTATTAACCCCTTACCAAATACAGGGTTTGTAAATACTTTCTCCCCTTCAGTTTTTTGGTTGTTTTCATCATTGTCCGGGAGCTTTTAATTTGGCATAGTCCCCCCTGTTTATTGCGCATTGGTGTCATCAAAAATATAATGGCCAAGACTTTAGTGTCAGGGGCTTTTTCCCTGATTATTTTGTTTGTTTGTTTGTTTGATGTTTGTTTAAGAGCTTGACCATTTCAGGTTCTACATTTGATCTCAAGTTAATTTTTGTGGGTGATAAAATATAAAGGTCCAATTTCAATCTTCTGCCTGTGGATATCCAGTTTTATCCATAGCAGTTATTGAAGAGATTGTCCTTTCCCAATTTGTGTGTTCTTTACACCCTTGTCAAAGGTTAATTTGACCATATATGCATTGTTTATTTCTTGGTCTATTCTGTTCCACTGCTCTTCGTGTTTTTATGCCAGTACCATATTATTGGTTACTGTAGCATTATAACATAGTTTTACAAAAATTTTTGACTTCACATCTCTCATAGCCCATGGATGTGGCGGCGGAGGGGGGGGGGGAGTCATAGAAAGTAAGGAGCAGATATAAGCATGGTTTATTTTATAATTGACAGATACGATTTTGACAGATACGATTAGGATCATACTTTTAGGAGCTAACATAATGTTAGCCACTGAAAGGGAATGAAATATAATAAAATATAGGTTTCTTACCCTTAAAGTTTTTCTCTTAAGAACAAGAAAAGGAATGGTGCCTATGTGAGAAGTAAAATGATAGTGTACACTGGATGATTGTGTCAGAGTAACCACAGCATGCGTTATCATGGTTGAGGAAGGCTTTAGTGTGAACAGGCAGCCCAGGAGAACCTGCTACAGCAAAAGACTGAAGCGTGCAATAATGACTTCTCTGTCTACAATGAAGTATGTTTCTTTTACTATAGGAAGTTCAGTGTCTACCTCTAACAAGACAGCCCGGTTGGAACAAAGAAAGGAGCCGTGGACTGTAGGTCTGCCTTCCTCTAACAAGAGGAATATCCTGCGAAGCAACTACATGAAGGAAAAGTCAGTTCATACTGTTCAGATCCCTGCAAGGAATGCAGGAAAGACATGGAGGGAGCAGCAGCAGTGGGGTTTAGAAGATGAAAAAATAGCAGGTGTGCACTGGAGCTATGAGGAAACAAAGACTTTTCTAGCAATCCTCAAAGAGTCTCGCTTTTATGAAACACTTCAGGCTTGTCCCCGAAACAGTCAAGTATATGGTGCTGTGGCTGAGTGGTTGCGAGAATGTGGCTTCCTCCGAACCCCAGAACAGTGTCGGACCAAGTTCAAAAGTCTTCAGAAGAGCTATCGAAAAGTGAGAAATGGCCACATGCTGGAGCCCTGTGCCTTCTTTGAGGACATGGATGCTTTACTGAACCCTGCAGCCCATGCTTCATCCACTGATAAACCAAAGGAGATTATCTCTCTCCCCAGACTAAAGAGAATCAGTATTGGTGCTAAGGAACACATCAGTGTAGTGGAGCAGGAGGAAGCTGCCGAAGAATCTGAGGGTGATGAAATGGGCGTTGAATTTATCCGCAAGTCTGAGATTCGTGGTGCCCCTGTCTTGTTTCAAAACCTGAGTGGTAAGGATTATGCTTGTTTTCTGGTATAAAAACAGATGTGTAGTCTTGTAGAAAAAGGAATAGATTGGAAGTGACCAGCCCTGGGGAGTGCTGCCACGCATGCCTTGCCACTTTGACTGCAACGTAGCACATACTGAAAACCCGCTCGGGTGTTTGTTGCTATCTCCAGAGCAGCGAGAGTGGCCACAGAAAGTTCTTTCTCAGTTTTGAGATCAGCATGAATTTTGAGTATTTGGGGACTTGTGGGAGAAAAGTAAATGGAGATAAGTGTCCTAAGGATTGAGATTATCTGAGAATTGGCATAGTACAACCATTTATATTAGATCATATAAGTCAAGGATGCATTTTTATAGTACCGGGACAATCAGGTGCTGTGTTGCAAAAGAATATGTAACAAAAGAGTGAAAATAATGAAATGAACATTTTTACTTAATCTCAAGACAAAGAAGGAGAGAAAAAAGAACATAAAATAGAATCAAATAGAAAAAAATAGTAGGGGCCGGTGCTGTGGCACAGTAGGTTAATCCTCCGCCTACAGCGCTGGCATCCCATATGGGTACCAGTTCTAGTCCTGGCTGCTCATCTTCTGATCCAGCTCTCTGCTATGGCCTGGGAAGGTAGTGAAAGATGGCCCAAATCCTTGGACCCCTGCACCCATGCTGGAGACCGGAGGAAGCTCCTGGCTCCTGGCTTCAGATCAGCTCAGCTCCAGCCGTTGCAGCCATTTGGGGAGTGAGCCAGTGGATGGAAGAACTCTCTCTCTGTCTCTCCTTCTCACTGTCTGTAACTCTACCTCTCAAATAAATAAATAAAATCCTTAAAAAAAAAAAACCTTAAAATTTAAAAAAGAAGAAAAAATAGTAACACAATAAAGGTAAGCCCAATGTATCATTAATTACAAACTTAGAAGATAAGATCACTAGAAATTAAAAACACCTACATGTAGCTTACAGAAGATATATCTTAAATGTATAAACACCAGACATTAAAACAGTAGCAAGATCTATCATGCTAGAGAAAACTGGTATTGAATTTTGAGGACTGGGACATGCAGAATTAAACTTTTAGCTAATAACCATGTGACAGTAGAAATACCGTGTAACTGCTCTGAGTTTCAATTTTCTCATGAAATTCTCTCTGTAAAATATGACTTAAGAGCACAGAGTTGTTTCAGTGTTAAGAGGGAATGTAGCCGGCACCGCAGCTCACTAGGCTAATCCTCCGCCTTGTGGCGCCGGCACACTGGGTTCTAGTCCCGGTCGGGGCGCCGGATTCTGTCCCGGTTGCCCTTCTTCCAGGCCAGCTCTCTGCTGTGGCCAGGGAGTGCAGTGGAGGATGGCCCAAGTGCTTGGGCCCTGCACCCCATGGGAGACCAGGATAAGTACCTGGCTCCTGCCATTGGATCAGCACGGTACGCCGGCTGCAGCACGCCAACTGCGGCGGCCATTGGAGGGTGAACCAACGGCAAAGGAAGACCTTTCTCTCTGTCTCTCTCTCACTGTCCACTCTGCCTGTCAAAAAAAAAAAAGAGGGAATGTAGATGAGGGTGTTTTGAAAATGCTGAAGTACAATACACCATTGCCTGACCTCACTTATTAGCAATGCTTCTCCACTCAATCTTAGGAAAAGATGGTAAGTTCTTACAGAGAAAGGAAAAATAAATCAGCTAGGAGAGCTGCAAGTGTATTCCTGACTACACCTGCTAAAAGACAGGAAGGTGTATTATGCAAATACAGGTGCTCACCAACTCTAACATCTATAAACACAAGGCTGGGGCTCTTGGGATGGTCTCAGATAAAGGAATCCAGTGATAGGACTGGAAGAGACCACCCAGTAAGGTAAAGGAAAAAGCATGCTTTTTCCAGAATGTACAATAAGCATGCTTAATTATAGTCAGACATGTCTTGAAATTTTATTCTGTCATAAATACAGAACATCTGCTTGTCTTATAGATTGATTGTGTCACCTCTCAAAATTGAGGACTCAGTGGCATAAAAAACTGAACTAGGCGCAGTTCTCCTCAAGGAAAATGGTTAAAGTGATGAGACCTTTTGGGAAAAATGCTTCCAATTGAATATTCTAGTCCATGTTTCTTAACCCCTTGGGAAAAAACACTCCATGCAACTAGATCCTTAAGTTAATACCATAGCAATGATAGATTTGAGGGATTACATATTACTCTTCCAAATAAACTTTGAGATCAGCTTATCAGCTTCAGTTTAAAAATCCCATTGGGGGCCGGCGCTGTGGTTCACTAGGCTAATCCTCCACCTGCGGCGCCAGCACCTTGGGTTCTAGTCCTGGTTGGGGCGCCGGATTCTGTCCCAGTTGCCCCTCTTCCAGGCCAGCTCTCTGCTATGGCCCGGGAGTGCAGTGGAGGATGGCCCAAGTGCTTGGGCCCTGCACCCCATGGGAGACCAGGAGAAGCACCTGGCTCCTGCCATCGGATCAGCGCGGTGCGCCGGCCGCAGCAGCCATTGTGGGGTGAACCAACGGTAAAGGAAGACCTTTCTCTCTGTTTCTCTCTCTCACTGTCCACTCTGCCTGTCAAAAAAAAAAAAAATCCTGTTGGGATTTTTGTCTTTATAGATTGGTTTGAGAATTGAAACCTGTACAGCTTAAATCTTCCTACCTAGGAACACAGTGTCTCATTTTTCTAGTTCTTTTGTATCTTTCAATAAAAAATTATATTGTTTTTATATAGACTTCCTCATTTCTTGCAAAGCATATTCCCAGGCCAATCATAATTCTTGTTACTGCCATGAATGGGATTTTTTTTTTCACCCCTGATACATATGGCATAAAAACTACAGACGGTTTTCTTACATCTTTGAACTTTATCCTTGAATGGCAGGTGTGCACTGGGGCTATGAAGAAACCAAGACTTTTCTTGACATCCTCCGTGAGACTCGGTTTTATGAAGCGCTGCAAGCCTGTCATCGGAAGAGCAAGTTGTATGGGGCTGTGGCCGAACAGCTGCGAGAGTGTGGCTTCCTTCGAACCCCAGAGCAGTGCCGGACTAAGTTCAAAAGCCTCCAGAAGAGCTACCGCAAAGTGAAAAATGGCCATGTGTTAGAGTCCTGTGCATTCTACAAGGAGATGGATGCCTTGATCAACTCTCGGGCCTCCGCCCCTTCCACCAGCCCCCCAGAGGAGATCCTCTTGCCCTCAAGGCAAGAAAGAGGGGTTATTGAGATTGAACCCCAGGAACCTACAGGCTGGGAGCCTGAGGAGACCTCACAGGAGGCAGTAATAGAAGATTCTGGCAGTGAGAGAATGAGTGAGGAGGAAATTTTGGAAGAACCAGAATTCCAGGGACCACCAGTTCGACTGCAAAGCCCAAATGGTAAGGATCATCAAGGGATTTTAGTCTAAAAGAGGGGCCAGTATAATTTACTGGAAGTCATTTGATAAAGCACAGTGCTTGCTTGTGAATATTTATTCATTCAACAAATATTTGAGTGCCATGTGCTGTTTGTGGAATAGGGCATATAGCAATGAGTAATATGTTCCTGTTCTTGTGAGGCTTCTATTCAAAGAAGGGACTCCATCCTAGTGGCTTAGTCTGGGATCTCAGCCTTGACCTTTGTGTGTATTGGTCAGTGTTTTGTATCCCTAGAAACCACTGAGCACGAGGAGAAGTTGGAATTATATGTGAGAAAAAAACTTACAGGAAGGAGCTCTATCTGTGAGCTCAAAGTGAGTATCTCAAGACTGTGTGATGTGCCAGAGACCCAGTGAGAGTATGGTAATGTGTTCTGGCGTTTATTCTGGCCCTGCACTCCACCTGCATGTTTCCCACTGACTCCCAGGTACTCTCATGGGCGCCTCTCCAGGTGAGCCAACTTAAAATGTCAGAACTGGAATCCCACACCATGATTCCTCCCTGTGTTCTCCCACTGCACATCCAGACTTAGAATGCCAGAGGTGATTTGAATACCTCCTTATTCATCATTTGACACAAACCCTCATATCTCTGTGCCCTCTTTGGTCCCCCACCTAGTTCAGTTTTTCTGTGTCTCTCTTACCTAGACTATGGTGAAAACCTCCAAGTCAGTTTTCCCCATCCTTAATCAAAGTTCATCTTACTCTCCTCGCCTTGTATGTTAGTGTTCTCATTTCTACACTCCTTCCTTATTCAAAACATGCACTCTAAGCTCATCTAAACTTCAGCTCATGATGCTCCCTCGACTTGAGTGTCAGTTCCATGTATGTCCATGTCTAAATTCTCACTCTCAGCTCCCCTACTTTGTCTCCCTGTTTTATGCCACTGAACACTTGGCCCTGAGATCCCCAGTACATGATGAGCACCTGACAGACAGGAGCTCTGTCTTTCTGCGGCACTGCATTAAGCCCACAGGGTGCACAGGAGTATGTGAAGTACTACAGTACTGCTTTGCCAGAATGGACTGTGGCACTGAGGCCCAGCAAGAGAAAGTAATGCCCACTTACCTTAGAGAAGGGAGTTCACGCATACACTCTCTGGTAATATTTACATGTGAAATTATAGTACAAAAGCTTAAATCCAGTCCCATATACCCCTGGTTTTGAGAACTCTGGAAATAAGGTCCTAGTGAATCTTGTATTTAAGGTAAGCTACAGGGCCTGGTGCCGTGGCTCACTTGGTTGATCCTCCACCTGCAGTGCCAGCATCCCATAGGGGCACTGGATTCTGTCCCGGTTGCCCCTCTTCTAGTCCAGCTCTCTGCTGTGGCCCAGGGGTGTAGTGGAGGATGGCCCAGGTGCTTGGGTCCTTACACCCGCGTGGGAGACTAGAAGGAGGCACCTGGCTCCTGGCTTCGGATCAGCACAGCGCCGGCTGTGGCGGACATTTGGGGAGTGAATCAATGGAGGAAAGACCTTTCTCTCTGTCTCTCTCTCACACTGTCTAACTATCTGTCAAATTAAAAAAAAAAAAAAGGTAAACTCCTGACCTATCATCAAATTTTCAGGCTCTGTCTGGGTCAACTACTAGGCTGTGACTTCCTGCAAGTCCCAGACAACATTGGATTCAATCAGAACCTCAAAAGAACCACTGCTCAGTGAAAGATGACATTGTTAGGGCTTTTTGCTCCAGTTGATGAGTGCATGGGTGGCTGCCCCCTCTCCCCAGCTCATGCCACAGCCACCGGTCTTAGACTTGAGACTTAGCAGCAGTTTCAGCTGGAAGGGTAGAAGGAAAGTAATGTGGAAGCTGGTAGGTAGAAGCAAGGCAGTCTAGCAGATGCCTAATAACAAGGGCTTGGGGATCAAACAAGCCTCAGTGGGCCTGAGATGCACAGCTTGTGAAATATGTATGGATGAATATGATGTCTGGAATTTGCTTCAAAGTAGTCTCCGTGGAGGAGCAGAGAGAGTATGTGGGAATAGAGATGAAGCAGAATTTTCCATGAATAGATAACTGTTAAAGGCAAGTAAGTGGTTCTTGGGAACTCATTATACATACTCTTCTCTTAACCACTCTGTGTGTTCAGATTTCCCATAATAAAAAGTTAATGCTGAAGTCACACAGTTAATAGGTGACCAGGATGATACCAAAACCAGAGTTGCGTGAATCCAAAGCTTGTGTCTCCTCTCCGTGGTATGCTCTTTGTCTGGAAAACTTCATGGCAAAGCTTGTTCTAAGATGTATCTTCTAGTGAATGTGGGGTAGGGTAGAGATTAAAAAGAAGGTAATTCCAGTTTGGGGAACAGTGAAAATTAAGATTTTAGCTAGTGTGATCTGTGAGACAGCTAGGAAAACACAGCAACGAGACATCTGTAAAGAAGAAAGAAGTACTCTTGGGTAGAATATAATTAGGCATTAATGAATTGAGAAGTCCTTTGAGGAATTTGGACTTGGTTACTAGAATCTCAGACTGTTGTGATATAGTATGTTTTCATACAGATGTAAAATAAAAGCTTGGCGAATTAGAGTATAACTTCAGCCAGATAAGCCAAGTTGTTCCCAAGTTAAGAATCAATATGAATGGGGATAGTGGCTGGAATTATAATTCAATTCAAGAAACATTTCTGAAGGTTCACTCTGTACTAGATGTTACTGTCTTGTTCATGGAGCTGAGAGAAAATACTGCATAACGAATCCAGTAAGAGTCACAGGAGCTGAGGCCAGGGAGGTCCCTAGGGATTGTAACATACCAAACCTTACAGGCCAGGCCAGGTTAATTATTTATATATGTTAATATATGAGTTGTGTGAAATTTATATCATCATTTCTTTTCTTTTTTTAGATTTTGAAATTGGAAGTAGTACCCGGGAGGATCCAACACAGATAATATATAAGGACATAGAACAACATAGGGCATTAATAGAAAAGTCTAAAAGAGTTGTTTCACCAAATGCTGATCCCAGTAAGTGTCGCAAAAGAGAATGCATCTCAGGAAGACAATGGGAAAACCTCCAAGGAATTAGACAGGGAAAACCCATGTCTCAGCCTAGAGACTTAGGGAAAGCTGTAGTGCATCAGAGGCCTTTCATGGGGAAGAGACCCTATAGACTTCTCAAATACGGAGAAAGCTTTGGAAGGAGTGCTCGTCTTATGTGCAGGATGACCCACCTGAAGGAAAATCCTTACAAGTGTAGTGTCTGTGGAAAGTGCTTTGGTAGAAGCAGAAGCCTAATCAGACACCAAAGAATTCACACAGGAGAAAAACCTTTCAAATGTCTCGACTGTGGGAAAAGCTTTAATGACTCCTCAAATTTTGGTGCCCACCAGCGGATCCACACGGGAGAGAAACCCTACAGATGTGGAGAGTGTGGAAAATGCTTTAGTCAAAGCTCTAGTCTCATTATACATCAGAGAACCCATACTGGTGAGAAGCCCTATCAGTGTGGGGAGTGTGGGAAAAGCTTTACCAACAGTTCTCACTTCAGCGCCCACCGGCGAGTCCACACTGGGGAGAATCCCTACAAATGTGTGGACTGTGAGAAAAGTTTCAATAACTGTACGAGATTTCGAGAACATCGGAGAATGCACACTGGAGAGAAGCCCTATGGATGTGCCCAATGTGGCAAACGTTTTAGTAAGAGCTCCGTTCTTACCAAACACCGGGAGGTCCATGTGAAAGAAAAGCTCCTGTCATACCCTCCGTGTGTGTACTCCCCAGAGAACCCACTGAAGGGCAAGACTGATGAATTTAGGAAGACACTTTGATGATGGTTTCTTCTCTTCATACTTGTCCCTTTAGCCATTTTTACGCTAATCTCACTCTTGGAAGCAATCTTTTCTTAGCTATAGGGTGTAATTCCCAAGACAAATGAGAATGTAAATAAACTAAAGACTTGTATCACGTCCTCACCTCTGCCTCTGCCTCCATCAGTCTGTTCCTCTCCTTCTGTGTCTCAGCTGCTCCTTTAATAAAGCGGAGAAGACACAGTTGAGTTCAGAACGAAATTTTCTCCAGCAAGTTGAAGCCACTGCTATTGATTGGATTGCTAATTTCAGCAACATTCAAGCTCCCTCATTGTGAGTGAATTGTTTTCAAGGAGTCAAAACATACTGAAAGGGTTTTATTATTGTTGTTGTTGTTATTATTATCTATATGAGATCCTGGATGCAACTTGAAAATGGATTTTCACATTTGGGTAGAATTTTCAGGAGTCTGTTCAAAAGTACATCAAATCTCTTGTTTTTTGAAGATTGTCACACAAAAAAAAAACAGTGAAGATTTGATAGCTTCCTTCAGAAGTCTGCTACAGCATCCCTTTTCTCTGTCAAGAAGTTGATCCCAGTAGGGTAGAATCCCTGTACTGTCACTGAAATTGTGTTACTGCCTGGCCCTTCATCAAGATGAGGAGCAGTTGATCACCCATCACCCTTTTCTGTCCCTGAAGACTTAAATCCCCTTGGCTGCTGCTTCTCCATGCTACAAGCAACTTGTGTTCCTCCCACTGTTTGCCGTAAGTCCTGCACTGATCTCCTAACTGTCCTGGGTGCTCTCGTCTGACTTCAGCACTGCCATGCCCTCTCTCAGGTCGCATGCTCATTGTGTGTCTCCTTAAAATAAAATAGAATTTCAGGCACATCTTCGTTCTACCCTGTAGCTCCCCTGGCTCTTATCTAGAGCTGATCTAATGCCCACCCCCACACTTCAGTAGAATATTAGAGTATAATAGTGTTTCTAAAACACTAAGGGGTTAGGAAAAAAGTGTGCAATTGAGAACTGAAATAATTGAATATTTCTGAGCCCAGTTAGATTCCTTAGGCCTGCTATAGACCAGAGAATCACCTCATTCCAGACTAGCACTTCCAGGGCTGGCTGTTAGGTAAACCATCTCTTATTTCTGAGGTGTCTACTCCCTGTTCACAGGAGGATAAACCTCAGTAGAAGCCTGAGTAGTTTATACAGCCCGACAGCCCATTGAGTGAAAGTTGAAATACTTATACAAACTTGCTTACCAAAGCACCACTTTTGTTTTCCTCATTTACCTGTTTGTCCCAAAAAAAATCTGAGAAATCGCTAGCATTAGCCCCATAAATGCTGAAGAAGAGTCAGACGAGAGGCAGGGTGGTTAGTTCATTTATGAGGTTCCAGCTGAAATCCAGGGATTCCATCTTCTGGCGCCACTTGGTTCAGGGTGAGACTCATGGCACTGGCACCCTTCCTACATGCATGACCCAGGGCAGTTTGCTTTGGGGAAGGAAAAGGCAGGAGTTTAGTGGAGAGATAACCAGAGTCAGAACTGTGTGTAAATTACTATTTTGCTGTTACCTCTTCCTTTCTTTCTCAAATGTCCTCTCATCTGAAGACATCTAGAGATAAAATTCTTCCTTTGAGTATGTTTGGATACTTTGGAACTGTTCAGCAAAGTACCAAGGGCACTGTAGGAAGAATGGGATTTACGTTGCCAGAAGAGGGTGTGGCCTGTTGGAAGGCAGGTGACTCAGGTAAACCTTGATGAACGTTTCTGATTTACATTTGTTAGCCATGTTAAAATTGCTCACACCCCAGTAGGTTGATTTCCTCTGTGTTGTCTGAATTATAGACGTCTGATGGTGCGTGTAGCTTCATGGTGGTGGTGTGCCTAGCTCAGTGAGATGTGTGTGGTGCCAGTGGGCCCGTGCTTATATCGTGTAGATGTTCTGGAATTCCAGCTCTAGAGAAGATGCACATAAATAGGGATTGTCGCTTAGTAATATGTACACAGGCTTGATAATTACGTGGAAGCATGATTCAGGAAAGTAGATGACTTATTCATAAATATTTATTAAGCACTGTTACGTATTAGGTCATGTTCTAGCCACAGTGAGAGATGAAAATTTGAACAGGAGGCATGTTGACAGTTCTCAAGGAACTTAAAAATATTATAGAGGAGGGGCTGGCGCCATGGCATAGTAGGTTAATCCTCTGCCTGCAGCACTGGCATCCTATATGGGTGCTGGTTCTAGTCCCAGCTCTCCTCTTCCAGTCCAGCTCTCTGCTGTGGCCTGGGAAAGCAGTAGAAGATGGCTCAAGTCCTTGGGCCCCTGCACCCACGTAGGAGACCCGGAAGAAGCTCCTGGCTCCTGGCTCCTGGCTTTGGATTGGCACAGCTCCGGCCATTGCGGCCATCTGGGGAGTGAACCAACAGAGGGAAGACCTTTCTCTCTGTCTCTCCCTCTCACTGTCTATAACTCTACCTCTCAAATAAATAAATAAATCTTTAAAAATATATATGATAGAGGAAGTATTATGGCAAAAGGTAACTACATGGTTACACCCATGCCTGTTTTAAAAGTCAGTAACTCAATCAGCAGAAAATCATCTTCCCTTGTGTTCCCTTGCCAAAGAGTTTCTCTAAATTGCCCCAAACCATATTTGGCACCTCTGTCAGATTTCCCAGTGGCAGGAAGGGTTCAAGGCCCATTCCAACTCTGGTGGAACAAACTGATTCTCCCAGATGTGGTTCCAGCTGAGGTAGAATTTAGGTTTCGCTACCTATATTCCTAAAGGAAAATGGACTGTTTGTACTAATTCAAGAACTTGTCTCTGTTCTGAAGAAATAAAACATTCTATCACCATCTGAGACCAAGGCAACTTGTCTCCTGAATTTTCTCTCTTCAGCTGAGGCATGGAAGTTAAAATGTTTTAAGTAATGTGTTTTTTATATCACATCGCATTGCTTTTATGAAGGCCCAAAGGAAAAGCTTTTTTTCCACATCTCAGTACCAGGAAATGCTGTGAACATAAGCAAAAATAAGGAGGCGAGGGGGACAGTTACTCTTATAAACACTGTGATTTTTATAACATACTGCTTCTCTCTCTCTTCTGGCTTCTGGGAAGCTCAACCAAACAGTCCCCCTCAGCCAGCTACCTAATCCTCTATTTATTTAATTCTGCCTTATTTATTTGAAGATTGTCTCAAATCATATTTTTTAAAAAGATAGTGTAAGCAAATAAACATTTTATTCTCTGACATCTTACCTAGACATTTTAGAATGAGGCTTGTATTTCCTGCGTAGACTTGCTTTGCCACTCCCACAAAAACCTCCATAACTTACTGGTGATATTGTTACAAACTCAACCCAGTTCACTCATTGGGAATGAAATCTTTTGTTTTGTTTTGTTTTGTTTTGTTTTGTTTTGTTTTGTAAGAGGAAAGCTTCACACATACGCAGGAGTAGCTCAGGATAGCCTGCCATTGTGGAATGAGCATTAGAGCAGAAGCCAAAAGAGACAAGTGTTAGTCCTGTCGTTGGTTACCCCTGCCTGAGTGCTGGTTGACAGATGCAAGCTGCCCTCTGGACTTTGTCTGAAGAGAAGGTGAGCTTGACTGCCAGGACCACTCAGGATCTGACGTCTCATGAGTCTGTGGGGTGTGACGACGATGAGGAAGAGGTCGCAGGTCCAGGCTCCCAGCTTGCGTGCCGCATCCAGGTATTCTGAATGTCTTCCCTGCTTTAGGAAGGGGACACTGTGATAGTGCAGGCAGCTAGGAGCTTGCTCAGTAAGGAATAGGACAAGACAGCAGGCAGCCCCCAGGCACCTGGGTCGCCAGAGGCAGGTAGCTGAAGGGAAGAGAGTCTGTTTTGTGAGGTCTGGCTCCACCTGACAGGCAGCCATGGGTGAGCCTTCCCAAGTGGAAGGAGCGAGTAGCTTGTAACCGTAAAGCTTTGCTTCTCTCTGATGAATGCTTCCCAAGACCAAGTATAAGTGTCTGTCTGTTCATTGTTTTGTATTAATGGTCACTTAGATGTCCTGAAGACTTGTATGTGAAATAAATGTCTAAAATAACTGGCTCCCATTGGCTTCTTCCATGCTGTAAAGGATATCTTCTATTAAAGCTGGGGAAAAAATAAAAACCCTAATCCAAGAAGTTAAAAGCCAATCAGAGTCGCTAATAAAAAAGAGAATGTCCGTCTCAGTTGACCGCTGTTCCACACAGCCAGCATCTTTTGTGAGTGCACGCTGTTCCTGCACAGTCCTCTGATAGTTGTCAGCCTGGGTCACACTAACTGCAGCATCACCCACAGCCCAAGGGTGGAAGAAGACAGTTGTAGGGGAGGAAGAGCCCGGTACTCGCAAGGTATCCAGCTGATCCCGAGGAGGAAATGAATACAAGACACATTACAGGAGAGAAGCACACAGACTTTCTTTGTGTGTACATGAGTGTCTCCACAAGAAGCGAAGACCCAAAAAAGTAGCACAGTCTTAAGTTCTTACACCCTGGATTAAACAGAGAATGGCACTTGTAGGCAAGTGACTCAAACGGGAAGACCAAAAGAAAGTACAAGTTCTTTTAGCAAGGTCTGTACAGAATCCTTGTAGCCTCAACTCCCTGTCTTGGGCAATGAGACCATTTCTTTCCTCCTGCTGTAGGGAGGGCCTCTCTCACATGGGAGATTTACCTCCTGCTTTAAGGAAGAAAAGGAAAGTTGGTGCTGCCCTTTTGCGTGAACTGTTTTTCAAGTGCCTTTAGCTCAGAATAACCCTTAGGTCAAAAAGTAGCATGTTTTGGGGTGGCTTATTCTGTCACCTTCACAGTGTTGAGAGCCAGTGGGGAGATGTTTGCCACTTAATGAGGATTAGTTTCCAACCCTACTCTTGGGAACTGCAGGAAGAACCACAGGATGGAGTCAGAACCACTTCGCTAAACAGGTAGATTCTGAAGTCTCAAACGTGGGTTCTACAAGCCTGGAATCTGTGCAGCAGACTGCAACAGCACCCAAGGACCTCAAGAGAAACTGCTGAGTCTGTATGTTTAGGGTGTTGATATCTGCAGAGTCCCAGTGGACTTTTTTGTTTTTAAGATTTATCTATGTATTTGAAAGGCAGATCAACAAGGGAGAGACAGATCTTCCAACTACTGATTCACTCCCAAATGGCCACTCCAGCAGGTCAGGGCCAGCTTGAAGCCAATAGTTCTATCCTAGTCTCCCTCCTGGGTGGCAGGGGCCCTCGCACTTGAGCCATCATCCACTGCCTTCTCTGGTGCATTAACAGGAAGCTGGATCGGAAGCAGAGCATCTAGGACTTGAATCAGCTCTCCAATACAGGATGCTGGTGTTGCAAGTGACATTTTAACCCACTGTGTGCCAGCCCTCAGTAGGTTTTCTGTATTTTTTTCTTGACTAAGTGGCTGCAATCATTTTTTGCAGACCATCAAGATAAAGGCTCATAAAATTCCTGCACAGTGTCAGAGCAGGGCTCTCCCACAGGTTACCTGACCACCCCTTTCTTCAGAGATTTAACTCTGGGACTTAAATACCTGAGGGGGGAAAAAATCACCCAAGAGTTGGAAATTTTCAATTCCTGTAAGTCCATTGAGGCTGTTAAGACTTTAAGGAAGAAGAATGAATGCTTGTGTCCCACACCAAAAGGAGCACGGCTAATCACAGCCCCCAAACTGCGTCATGGGTCCAGGAAACGAGAACAGTGCCTTTGGGTTCCAAGACAGGGAAAAGCCTACACCCACTCTGGGGCCATAAGACTCTGAAGGAAAATGGAGAAATTCGGGGGAGCTGAGGGAACAAAGGGAGAGGAGGCATCGGAAAGGCCTTAAGGATTGCTTGGATACACGACCATAGAGCCCATGGAGCAAGCGGATGTTGTGGAGTTAACTATACAGGAGCACTCTCCAGAAACCACTGTGGCCTAGGCAAGTGACCTGTCTGTAGCACAACAGCGGCACCATGTGGTAGGGAGGAGAATGGCAGTGACTGCAGGCGCTCAGTAATAAGTAACGTGACTCTTCCCTTCAGGATTGCTTAAGGCCCCAGAGTTTTGTTTTGTTTTAATTATTTACTTGTTTGTTTTTATTTGAAAGAGTTACAGAGAGGCAGAGAGGTCTTCCATCTGCTCATTCACTCCCCAGATGGCTGCAACAGCCAGAGCTGCACTGATCCAAAGCCAAGAGCCAGGAGCTTCTTCCAGGTCTCCCATGCAGGTGCAGGGGCCCAAGCACTTGGGCATCTTCTACTGCTTTCCCAGGCCATAGCAGAGAGCTGGGTCGGAAGTGGAACAGCTGGTACTTGAACCGGTGCCCCATATGGGATGCCGGCACTGCAGGCGGCGGCATTACCTGCCATGCCACATCATCAGCCCCTGGGCCCCAGAGTTCTTGGACAGTATGGTGAGGGACAGACGCAAGAGTGTACTACTAGGCTTCCCAACAGCGCAGCCTGTTCTGCTGAATGGAAATGAATCAGTCTGTGTATCCTAAGGGTCTGGATACATGCCCATGGCCATAGACAAGACCCTAGACTGTGTCCCAGATCCTGGATTCTGAATGGGCTCTGCTGATAGACAACTGCATGACTATGGTCTTTTGTTTAACTCTGAGTCTGGGAGCTGGCCAGGATGAGGGTTCCTAAACTTTCTCTTTAGAGGCTCAGAGGTCCTTATATGAGAGCAGTTGTCTAAAATAAATAAGAGGGCCCTTCAAAAAGTGTTTGGGAAATGCATAATATGAGAAACTATGCATGGATTTCCACAACTCTTATCCCAAAATAAACACCTTTGTTTTCATTTTATTTCAAAGGCAAAAACAGATACACTCACAGAGAGAGATGGATCTTTCATCTTCTGGTTCACTCCCCAGATGCCCAAGTGCCAGGCAGAAGTCAGAACCTGGAACTCACTCCATCCAGGCCTCTCACATGGGTGGCAGGGACCCAAGTACTTGAGCCATCACCTGCTGCCTCTCAGGGTGTGCATTAGCAGGGAGCTGAAATTGGAAGCAGGGCTGGGACTCGAACCCAAGCACTCTGATAGGGGATGCGGGTATTCCGAGCAGCTTCTTAACTGCTATACCAAACGCCTGTCCCTGTGTCCTCTTTTGAATGGAGGACTAATTAGGCAAGTAGGCAACCAGGCGGAAGATCTAACGCGTCCATTCTTTACAAACAGCAAAGGGTGATGACAGAGCTTGTGGCCACTGCAGCCAAATACACGATCTCCAGTGTGGGCTCCACCGAGGCACCAACTGCAAAACCTCCAGGAGCTCTTCTGGAAGACGAGGAGAGCAAGGCTCCCTCCAAGCTTAGCTTCCTGCAGCCGCGGGAACTAACGACCACCAACCGCGTGGTTCAAAATTACAGCAGTTTATCCTCTCCCAGCTCTGGAGGGCAGAAGTCCGAACTTGAGGTGTCGGCAGGGCCGTGTTCCCTGCCGAGGTCTAAGGGGAGGCTCCTTCCTCCCCTGGCCTCACCACCTCCAGCTTCTGTGGGCTTCGGGGCTGACTTGTGACTGTAAGACTCCAAGCCCTGGGGCTCGTGCTGTGACGTAGCAGGTAAAGCCATTGCCCGCAGTGCCGGCATCCCATATGGGCGCTGGTTCAAGTCTCGGCTGCTCCACTTCCGATCCAGCTCCCTGCTATTGTCTGGGAAAGCAGTGGAGGATGGCCCAAGTCCTTGGGCCCCTGGGCCCCCGTGGGAGACCCAGAAGAAGCTCCTGGCTCCTGGCTTTGGATCTGCCCAGCCCCATCCATTGTGGCCATTTAGGGCGTGAACCAGTGGATGCAAGACCTTCCCCACCTCCTCTCTGCCTCTGCCTATCTGTAACTCTGCCTTTCAAATAAATCTTTTTTTTTTTTTTTTTTTTTTTTTTTTTTTTTTTATAAATAAATCTTTTTAAAAAAAAAAGTCTCCAAGCCCCTCCTCCCCCTTCACATGGACCTCTCTCCTGCACCCCTGGGTGGGGGCGGGGGGGGCACAGACCCAGTTCTGTCCCTCAGTGGAGCACTCTCATTGGATCAGGGCTGCTCTAAGCCACTATGATGTCCTTTTGACCCTTACCTTAACCTACAAAGACCCTGTTTCTGAATAAGCTCACATTGGTTCCAGGTGGACGTGGATTTGGAGACCACACTGTTCCTCCCAGGACACTACCTCGCAGGATTGTTGTGGGGAGTGAGTGGCATGATGGAGAGCAAGCATTCAGCCCAGTACCCAGCACTTAAACACTCGGTACACGGCGGCCTTGAGTCCATGCACCTGTACGGCTATGTGGTTGCGGACGCTTGACTGTCTTGCTGTTTGCTAGATTTCTCCAAGTTTTATTTTCATATTTCACCAAGCGAATCAGTAGCTTTGAAGGTTTTTTTTTTTACTTCCTCTTTGTAAGTGTTCTAATTTGCTTGTTTCTGATTTTATCATCTCTCTCCTCACTTTTTCTATTGCTTAGAGTGGTGGTTTTTCTTTCTGTTACTCTCTTTTGCTTTGAGACCGTTTGGGGTGTTTGGAGATGTAGTGCAGCCATTTGGTCAACAGGCAGAATCATACCGTATTACTGAATTTTTCCCACGCGCATTCCTTCATGTTTTAAGTCAGGTAAGCGGTTTTGCTCCTCTTGTAGAGGTGGGTAAGGGGGTCAGCATTGCGGTGGAATGGGCTAAGCCACATCGGAGTGCAGGTTCAAGTCCCAACTGCTCTGCTTCTGATCCAGCTCCCTGCTAATGCGTCTGGGAAAGCAGAGCAAGATGGTCCAAGTGCTTGGGCCCCTGCACCCACCTGGGAGACCCAGATGGAGTTCTGGGCTCCTGGCTTCAGCTTGGCCCAATGCAGGCTGTTTTGGCTATTTGGAGAGTGAACCAGCAGATGGGTTGACTGACTGACTCTCTTCCCCTTTCAAATGAACAATCTTTATTTTTAAAAAAAATGTGGGCGAAGTTCTGTTTATTGTTGAGAGTGATTTTCCCTGGCACTTTGTTATGGTCTTGTTTATACTGATCACCTCCATAAGTAAATTTTTATCCTTTCTTGCTCACTCGGCTCCTGCCTTCCATCTAAGCCACTGTCTCTCCAGGCCTGTGCTTGTCACTTGCGCAGGAGCCCCCCTCGGGGCTTCCTCACAGCCCTGACCCGCGCTGCGCCCACCCCTTCCCCAGCACGAGGGCAGTGAACGGGCTGACCCGTGCCCAGGTCAGGCTGGGGCACTCAGCTGCATCCTGGACTCCACATTGGGCTCCTCAGCAGGGTCCTGAACGCTGACCTGGAGCGGACTCCAACTGCTGTCCAGACCGCATTCTAGAACCAACTCGGAGCTCCATGAGGGGTCTGGCTGGGTAGGGACAGGCTCCAGGCTGGACTCCATGCCGAGTGCCCCTGCTGGCACTGGACTCTAGGCTGGGGTCTAGGCCTGGCCACACTTGGGGCAGCCAAGGCCCCAAGCCCAAACTTTTGCTTCCTTCCCCTGCAGTGCCCATTTGGTAAAAGAAAGGCAAGCCGACAGGTGCACATTAGGAAACACGGGACAGTTTATTACCGGCATTGTGGGAAGCAAGGAGGTGGCTGGGCCCCAGAAGGCCCTTCTAGAACAGGACTCAAGGAACACAAAGACAAGAGCAAAAGGGGGTGGCGGGAGAGCCGATGTGCGTGGACAGCCGCGTCTTCCAAGTGCTGCTCTGCTCCTGTGAGCTTCCCTCTCAGGAAAACAACCCTCCTGCCGTGCTGTTTCCATCTCTCTGTGGGCAGCGCTGACAGCACCTCCCGCAGGCCAAGGTCTCTGCCAAGCACCAAAGGAGTTCCCAGAGCCTAGAGCCTGCTGCGGGCACGGCCCGGGAAGCCGGGCCTGAGCCAGTGGAAGTGACTCGGCCTCTGCTGTGGGCTTCGGCCCTGGCGGGAAGTGCAGAAGCCGTGCTGGCCTCAGCCCAGGGTGGGGCAGCTGAGGGCACGTGGGACAGCAGGAATCCCACCAGCTGCGCTTCACCGTCCCTTGAGGATCAGGCGGGTTTTCCCATCTCCAATGACGAACCTACAAAAGAAAAAAAAAAAAAAGGTGGCCTTGTGCCTGTGGGGTCTAATGGAAGAGACCCAGCCCTCCGTCATGTATCTCCTGGCCCAGAATTCTCCAGAGAGGCCTCCCTGAGCCTTTCCAGCCTCCACAGCCAGACGCCCGTGGGGAGGGGGAGATGTCACGTGGCTGCCCTCTGACAGCAGAGAACAGCGAGCAAGGCTACACACTGAGACAGAGGCCGCCAGGTGCTCACAGACGGGTCCGCCCCGGTGCCTGTCCCCTCCCAGGCCGTGCAAGTCCAGACACCAAGCCCTGCCCCCAGGAGCAGAGGGAGCTGGGTATCAGAAGAGAGGACACGCGGGCAGAGGGAGAACTGCTCCCAGCACATTTTATAGGAATGGCACCTCCCAACAGGCTTCCTCTTGGTTTCCCTGTGTGGACAGCCCCCCGCCCCGGCGGTGTACAGCTGCCCCTTGGGGGATACCCATCTGCTGCTTTCGGTCCTACTCCCAGTTGTTCACATCGGACTGACCTTGAACCGTACCCCAAGGTGAGACTTGTGCTCCAGACACTGCCTGACCCCCATGGCTGCAGTGAGTGATTCTGGGGTACACCCACGCCCCCGGGCTGGGCCAGCCCACGCCAGCGGCCGTCAAATGCAGGCCGTTTGCTAGAGCTGTTTCTCTCTTCCCTCTGGAGTTTGTTCAGCGGCTGGGACGCGAGCCTGGGGTGGTTCCCGAGCGCCCGGGGCCTCTGCTGGGGACACTGCCTGAGCATGCGCACCCGGAGGAGGGGAGGGCCGTTTAGATGTGTAGGCATCGCTGGCAGGCCGCACACGATGATCCACGTAACAGGGAACCTGCTGTGCACGTACTGAGGTTTGAGTCCCATCTGGGGTTGCCTTAGCGGGACCAGACCAGGTGATTTCGTGGGCCCATTTATACGGCCCAAGGGCTGGACGTTCCCAACCCCGGCCTACAGGAAGCCAGTGCTACCTGTGAACTCTGTCCTCAGCACCAGTGAACCTCCCCTTCTGGGCTGGGGCTCTGTCACTTGCAACCAAAGTCCCCCCATAGAGCCAGGTTTTGGCCTCTGAAGAAGGCACCCTCTTTCTTTCTTCAGACCCGGGCCAGAGCCTGGCCCTCCAGCCCTGGACTCCATGGGAGCCGAATCCCCAGGCCCAGCAGGCGGGTCACACTCCTACCTGATGAGCACTCCAACAAGCAGGCCGCCCAGCAGAGGGCCCACCCAGTAGATCCAGTGGAAGCTCCAGTGGTTGGCCATCACAGCAGGTCCAAAGGCACGAGCAGGGTTCATGCAGGCTCCCGACACAGCGCCCCTGCAAACACCCAGCCACGTGGTCACAGGCGCCCAGGCAGGCCCCCACGTAGGCCTGGTCACACCCCACCCTGAAACCCTTGCTGATCCCCCACCCCACTCCCCGGTCAGGGGCTCCTGGGTAGATTTCAAAGAAGGTGAAGAGGCTGTTGGCAATAGGAGGCGACAGCGTGGCTCCTCCCTGCCCTGCGTGGACAGTCGGCCACTCCCCACACTTCTAGAACAGCCAGCAAGGAATGGCTAAGCAGTGACAGCAGGAAGAGGAGAGGGGTCCAAGTCTATAAAGCAAGGTCGAGCACTTGATGAACTTGACCCAGCTGAGCTAGTCCCACTGTGTGAGCTCTGTTTACACTCTCTGTTTCCACAGAGGTGAAGGGACCTGTCCCATTGGTGGTGGGCAGTGAATGAGAAAACGCATAAGTGGAGCCCATGTCTCATGTATCCAGTTAACGCACAGCAGGCGCTGTCTAGACTCGCGCTGACTCAGCCCTGCTGCACCCCAAGTGTGGGACCCAGAATCTCCTCTGTGGGGCCTGCACTCCAAGGGCCCCTCTCTGGTTCCGTGTCTGGGTTTGTCTGAACTCTGGCTGGAGGTCCCACAGGCCTCTCCCGACCCTGTGTCCAGTAACCAAAGTCAGGATTCAAGGACTTTGTAAGTGGGGCGGATGCTGTGTGGCCGAGAGAGAGCTAAGCAGCTGCTCAGGACACCTGCGTCCCACATCCAAGAGTCTGGGTCAAGTTCCAGATACTCTACTTCTGATCCAGCTCCATGCTCGCACATCTGGGAAGCACGGAGGATGGCTCAAGCATTCTGTCACCTACTTGGGAGACGTGACTGGGGCTCCTGGCTCCTGACTTCCTCCTAGCCCAGGCCCTGGTGTTGTGGCTATTGGGGGAGTAATTTCAAGTCTTTGAAAAGTAGTCTTGTAAGTGAGCCAAATGCCACTAGAGGGCAGTAACTCATCACTCGCCCTGCCCACCCCTCCACCCTAGCCCAGCAAAGCCCTGACTCCGTTCTGTGTTGGACATTGGTAAGAAGCTCCCTCGTCCATTCCAGCAGATACGGGCACCTGCCTCAGGTCTGGAACTTCATTTGCCGTGGCCCCATCACCTTAAATCCCTCCTGTCCTCTCTGTGCCTCATTTTTCTCATCTTTAAAATGGGAGGAAATAATCCCTGACTCAACTTTATCTCCTGGATCCCTTCCCCAGCCTGCTGAGAGGCTCCAAGTGAAGCAAAGGGGGTGGATGCTGTTTGTAAGTCTCAGGCTAAAACCTCACCCAGCCATACCCAGGGAGTGAGCACAGCCTGTAGGAATGTCCTATTCACGCCACGGAAAAATGGAGAACATTTTATGTAAAAATCCAGATTTCTGACTCTCCTGCAAAGAAATGAGCAGGAAGTCCTCCCAGACCCACACTAGCCCTGACGCGTGGTGGCTTCCTCGGATGCCACAGTCCCCACCACCCCCTGTTGTCTGCCCAGTGCTGCAAGCCCCTTCCTGGCTCCTCCCAGCGAGTGTGTGCACCACCCTCAGGCCTGACCGCCTCAGGGGCCAACTCTCAGCCCAGCTCAGTACGCAGCAGCCCCCTTCTGCGGGACACTCACCCCGCCAGGATATCCACGACGACGGAGAAGCCGATGGAGAACGGGGCCAGGGGGCCTCGCGTCTTCTCGTTGATGGCGCCCATGCACACAGCCAGGGCCAGCAGCGTCGTCATGACGATCTCCGCCCCCAGCGCCCTCACCACCTGCCCATGCTCCTGGACCGTCACAAAGGCCGCCCCTGTGGCATTCCAAAACCTCTCCTCCGGACTCACGGCCTGCGGGGAGGAAAAGCCGCTCAGCCTCAGAGCAGGGCAAGGGGGCCCTACAAGTGCTTCCCGCCCACCTCAGGGTCAGTCTGTACGTGGACAGATCCGGGTCCCCTGCCTGGGATCGCCAGTGTTTGCTGCTGACCTCACCAAGGCTGCCTTGCTCATCTGCAGGTAACACAACAGGTTCTCTGGGGGCTACGGGCCTGACTCCTGGGTCACTTGGGCCACTCTCTTTGAGATCCTACTCATATATGCCACTCACACAGGGCCAGGGGACACATTGCCAGGCCCCCATGGGACCCCAGCCGCAGAGCAAGGAGAGCCCTAGGGAGTGCAAACCCAATGAACTCTGCAGGAAATGGGTGCAGCTCCTAGAGAGAGAGGACGGTGGGCGTGCAGCAGCTTGCCTGGCTGCTCGTGCCTTGGCTTCCACCAGCTATGCAACGGGGATGGTCGTGACAGCTCCTCGCTCGCCCACAGTGGGCGCTCTCTCAGGACTGGGAGATTCAATGACAGCACAACACAGTGGGTCCTCCCAACCGCGGATCAAGATCTGCTAAACAAAATTGCATCGCTGCTGAACACGCACAGAGCTTTGCAAAGTCTGTGGCCTTCCTGCGGGGATGGGAGGATTCCAAATGCAAGCTGAGTAGCAACTGCCATTGAAGGTATTTCAGTTGAAAGGCCAGCAAACCAGAGAATACACTGACACTGAATTCTGGCCGTGAGCAGAATGAATGGGCAGGTGACCGAATGAATGAGTGAATGAGCAAATGAATCGAGCATTGCGAACTGCCCAGATCCACTCCAAAGCCAGAAACGGGCTCAGGAAGAGAATTGCCAAGTCTTGAATCTGCTTCCCGCTCCGAGCAGGGGAGGGTTTGATCAGGACACAGCTGGGTGCTTTTGTAAGGCACCCAAAGCCCTGGGAAGGTCCCCCACCCACCCACCCACCCAGGAGCACAGGGCCACCCAATGCCACTGGGAGAAACCAGCAAAGAGCTGCACATGTCCCGGCTCCCCACCTCCCCCGACACACCCACCATCAGAGCTGAAGCCACAGCCCAGCCCCGTCGGGGGCACCCACCTTGGCCAGGGCGGCCCCAATCAGCCCCCCGCACAGCTGCGAGATCCAGTAGGGAAGGAGCAACAGCAGGTTGAGGCCTCCGATCAGCGTGGCCGCCAGGGACACCGCAGGGTTGAAGTGTCCGCCACTGGAAGCAGCAAGAGCAGAAGGCGACATGAGGTCAAGGTGAAAGGTGAGAGACCCCGTCCCTGGCAGCCCCGCAGCCGCAGCCCAAGGCCAGCTTCACACAGGCAGGGTCAGACTGGGGCTGACCCCGGCAGGAACAGGCACCCGATCCCTCCCAGGTTTCCCGGGGTGCCAGGTGGTGGGACGAGGGCTGTGAGGGAGAGCCGGGAAGGGAGAAGCCCCTGTACCCCCAGCCTGGACCACAGAAGATGTAGAAATACCGTCCCCTAGGCTGTCCAGACTCCCTCACAGCTCCCTGCAGTGAGCCGCAGGTCACACTGAGGTCCCAGGCTCCAAATTAGTAGCCCAAGAGAGAGGAATCCTGGCCTCTCTGTAGAAGTAGCCAGGCAGGGTGTGCCTTGTGGCACAGCACAAATTAAGCCACCACTTGTGACACTGACATCCCATATGAGCACAGTTTGAGTCCCGGCTGCTCAGCTTCCTACCCAGCTTCCTGCTAATGTGCCTGGGAAAGCAACAGGAGACTCAAGTGCTTGGACCCCTGCCACCCCCATGGAAGACCCGGATGGAGTTCCAGGCTCCTGCCTTCAACCTGGCCCAGCACTGGCTGTTGCAGCCATTTGGGGAATGAACCAGCAGATAGAAGATTTCTTTCTCTCTGGCTCTCTCTCTCTCTCTCTCTCCCTTTCAAATTAACACCATAAGTCTTAAAAGAATATAGACAAGCCCTGAATAGGAGCTGATTGGTTGAACTCTCAGCCAATAAAGATCCTGGTTTTGGTCTGAAATCGGGTCGAGTGTCACAATGAGATCAGGAGTTCAAGGTGGAAATGGCATTGAGGATCTGGGTGGGGACGTAAGTTCACCATCAGGTCAGGGAGGGACCTGGACGGGAGTGAGACAAGCCAGAACTCAGGGGCAAAGGGCACACTCAGGTTCACTGGCCCCTCCAGGGGTCATGGGGAAAGAGCCTTCCCTTCCACCTAAGCCCTCAACCAGAACAGGCCCAAAGCCAGGAGGCCCCCAAGCCTCTGGCACACCCAGGCATATCCCACCCAGTCACACTCTGATACAGGCACTACTGTCAGGGGCTGGCCCATTAAAACTCTCTGAACCCCAAGCATGGGTACCCCCAGAGGAGGAAACGTGACCCCAAAGACCCTCCACCCGTGTCACACACCAGCCACAGCGCCCCTAAATCTTAAGAGCCCACAGACACACAGAGGCTGGCACAGGAGACCTCGGCTCGGACACCCCCAGACCAGCTGGCTCTACCTTGCCTGGCCGGAGCTGGGCCCAGGCCCACAGGGAAACTCTCACAAGGCAGGAAGAGAGGCCAGCCAGGCCCCCCAGCCTGCAGATGGAGTGGAGGGGTGGGGACTCAGAGCCCTCTCGGAGTCACACTGCAGCCTATAATTTCCAAGTCCACGTCGGAGGGAACTGTCACGGTACCTGTCTTTCTGTTCCTGGCCTATGTCACTTAGCACAGTGATCTCTGTGTCCATGCGTTCGGCTGTGAATGTCAGGATTTTGTTCCTTTTCGTGGCTGAGTAGTACTCCTTGGTGCCCACACAGCGTGTGTTCTTATCCACGCTCCCTGTGATGGGCACCTAGATTGATCTCGCATCTGGCCTATTGTGAACAGGGGGGCGATAAACCCGGGAGTGCAGGAACCTCTGTCAGAAGCCAATCTCCCTTCCTCTGGACAGCTTCCCAGAGCAGAAGCTGGGTCATAGGATGGATGTGTCGTTAGTTTGTTGAGGACCCTGCACACTGCGCTCCGTAATGGCTGTAATAATGCTCATTCCCACCAGCCCTGCATTAGGACCCCCTGTTCTCCAGATTCTCGCCGGCTTTTATCCTGCCTTTTTTGAGAACAGCCATCCCAACAGGAGTGGGCATGTACCTCATCATGTTTTTTTATTGCATTTCTGATGGCTAGTGATACTGGACATTTTTTTGGTTTTCCTTGGCAATTTTTATTTCTTCTTTTCAAAACAATTTCTGTTCAAGCTGGGCACTGTGGCACAGTTGGTTAGGCCACTGCTTGGGACATCCACACTCCCTATCAGAGCGCCTGATCAAGTCCCAGCTACTCCGCTTCTGATCCAGCTTCCTGCTAACGCACCCTGGGAGGCAGATGACGATGGCCCCAGTGCCTGGGTTCCTGCCACACGTGTGGGAGACTCACATGGAGTTCCAGGCTCCTGGCTTCAGCCTGGCCCAGCCCCAGCTGATGCGGGCATTTAGGGGAGAAGGAGGATCTCTCTCTCTCTCTCTCGCTCGCTCTCTCTCTCTTTCAATAAATGAAAAATAAACATTTGCCAAAAATGCACAAAGTCTATTCAGATCCTTCACCCATTTCTTAACTGGTTGTTAGGTTGTCATTGAATTTCTTAAGTTTTTGAGGTTTTCTGTTCCATGTGAATATTTATATATTTTGGATATTAATCCTTTATCAGATGCATAATTTGCAAATATTTCCTCTCATAAAGTATACATATTCAGGTTAAGATATTCCTTGTTAATCTGGAAATTTTTAAATAATAATACCTTAAAAAATCAAAACAAATCAAAATAAAAGATGCTCTCAGCCTCCACCCCCTACACCCTGTATGCTCAGCGTGCCCCCCCAACCCCACCCCGAGAGGGGGCTGTGCGCCTCGAGCGCCACACGAGCTTCCCAGGTGACCACACACTCAGTAACAGTAAAGTGATCAAGACGTTCCCCGAGTTCACTCACTCATCACTCAGCAGATATTTATTAAACGCTTACTGTATACCAGGAGCTGTACCGGGTGCCTTATAGACCTTATCTTGGATCCATTCAGCAACCTCAAAGTCAAGGCTGTACAAATATTTGCTGAAGACCTCAATGATAGAATGAAGGGCTGGTATTGCAGGGACTGGCGTTGTGGTGCAGCAGGTTAAGCCGCGGCCTGCGGCACCGGCATCTCATATCAGAGTGCCGGTTTGGAGTTCCAGCTGCTCCATTTCCGATCCAGCTTCCTGCTAATGTGCCTGGAAAGGCAGTGGATGAGGGCCCAAGTACGTGGGCTCTTGCTGCCCACGTGGGACGCCCAGATGCAGTTCCAGGCTCCTGCAGCCATTTGGGGAGTGAACCAGCAGACAGAAGATATCTCTCCCTCCCTCCACCTCTCTCTTTCTTTCCTCCAACCCCACATATCTCTGCCTTTCAAATTTAAAAAAAAAAAAAGAAAAAAGCATTTCAGATAGGCAATACAGTGCAGTGCCTAGGAGATTTCTCTCCCACCACATGGCCTGGGTTCAAACCCCAGCTCCAGCTCGGCTACAAGCACCTGTGTGACCTGGGCAAGTTACATAACCTCCCTGTCGCCTCCATGATCCCTACCTGATAAGGCCGTTGCAAAGGTCAAATGAATTGATCCGTGCACAGCACCTGGTAGCACCCATCTAATTAGTACTCAGGATTCAAATCCCAGCTGCTGTAATTATCATCCACCTTTATACCGCTGTGCTCAGAGAGGTTCAGCAGCTTGCCCTGGCCACCAGCTAAAACGGGACAAAGGCTGCATTCCACCCTGGATCCTTCTGATCCGCAGACTGTGTACCCTGCATCCCGACCACAGCCGCCCTCCCTCGGGTGTTTGCAGAGATTCAAGGTTCCTCTCCCACTCTCAGCAACACTGTTTCAGTTTCCTGAGACTAAAAGAGAGCAGCTGTGGGGCCTTGATCCCCTTGCCGGGTGCCCCATGCAAGTCATCGGCTCACTGAGGACCCAGTGACCTCCCCCTGCCCCCTCCAAGGAGCTCCCATCCAGAGGAGCATGAAGCAGGGGGAGCACCTCCCCTCTTTGCGGGCTGCGCCCACTGCAGCTGCCCGTCTACCAAGTGGGAACACTCCTTGCTCGCTTCAGCTGCACGTGTCCGCTACCCAAAGCCCCCCTCACCCCACACCCCAACAGTCACAGTCACACAGCAGTCATTAGTGACTGTGTAGGCGACAGCCTCCAAGTTCTTCTTGGGCTGAGCCCCGCTTCCACGAAGCATGCGGGTTTGGACACGGGAGCCAGACAGCTTGGATTTAACTCCAGGCTGTGTCAGTTTCTTGCCTTTAATCTTGGACAGGTTACACGGCCTTTCCTAGCCGACAAGGCGGCTGCCAGGGTTCTATGATTGATGGCTTTACGGTGCTTAGAGTAAGCACCTGGTACCTGGTCAGCAATCCGTGCATTCTGGCTTGGAAAAAAAAATACTTCCTAAAATTCTTATTCTTGAAATATCTCATGGTATCCCATAAGTATACAGAATTTTCACATGTCGGTTAAGTGATACTTTAATGAGCTAAGATGTTGATTATTCCTATTTGGAGAGTGATTTGCCCCAAAGCCACAAGACTCACAGACTAGAGAGCCCCGGGAAGTTGACCACCTCTCCATGGTGCTCCTTCAGCCCTGCATGTGTGTCCAGGGGTCCCTGCCAACAGCTTTGTGCCCCACCTCCCAGCCCCCGCAGTCCGCACCAGGCTGAAGGCTCGGCACTGCTCTCACCTGATGTTCCCCAGCGTGGCGATGACAAGCCCCAAGGCCAGCCCGTGGGCCAGGGCGGGCTGCAGCCGCCCGGTGTCCGGGCCGTTCTCGATGACCGACAAGCACCCGATGAAGATGAAGAGGGCCGAGCCCAACAGCTCCACCAGACAGGGCTGCACGAACCGCTCATACCAGGATTCCCGATACCTGCTGCCTAGGGTCAGCTCCTTCACCCTGCCGTCGCCAAGCTCAGAGTGACTCATGGTTGCCTGTGTGGGGAAAGGCACAGGATGCACACGGGAGGTGGGGTGCAAGCCCAGACAGAAGCCCCGACCCCCTAGCCACACACCCGCCCCCCGCACTGCCAGGCTGCCACAGAAGATGGCAGCTGTGGGCTCACCTCGCCAGACATCGGGGTAAGGTGGTACAGGGCCTGGGCTCTTGCCAGGGCTGCTGGGAAATTGCACCTGCTGTGCGGTACAGGCGTCTCTCCGGGACAGGGCTTGTGGATCCTGCTACAGGCGCTGCTCCTTTTAAACAACTGCAGAGGCTCCCGAGGGTGTTGAGAAAGCAATAAAGCCTTGGGTGGGAGGTGGCTCTGAGGCTGAGAAGAGCAAACTTTTTTTTTTTTTTATCTCAACAGGGCAGGGCGGGAGGTGGGGGTGGCCAAGAACTGCTGGGCTTTCTGCCAAGGAGGGGCAAAAGCATGGACATGGTGGCACCATCCGGGGCCACACAGTAGGCGCTGGGGATCCAGCAGCCCGGCTCCCCGCAGTCCAGGTAAAACAGGCTCCAGGAAGGCGCCACGGGGTGCAACTGTGTGCTAAGTAACAGCGAAGTCAACTTCAATGACTTTTCCATGGTTCCCACAGACATTCCCTTCTCCCTGGGGCCCGGACACCCACGTGCACCCCGACAGCCTGACCCGGGACCAGCATGAAGATGAAGGATGACCCCTCCCCACCACACACACACACACACACACACACACGGATGGAGGCAGCAGGGACCAGCAAGACCCAGCGTGGTGCACTGGGAAAGCCAAGTGGACTCTAGAAGCAGGCTGCCTGCCTTTGAATCCCAGCGCCGCTCTGAGCTGGCTGCCCAGCCAGAAGCACCTTTCTTAACCTCTCTGTGGCCTTCTCCTGGGTGAGGTGCGGATGACAGTAATACAGCCAATGCTACAGAGTCAACGTGAGGTTAAGATGAGTTGATAAATGCAGAAAGTTCAGGGTGGTGCCGGACACATAACAAACCTAACACTTGTGCCCATTTCCGTAGGGAAGTTCAGGGTCACTACCATTTAAAGGACACTTTCTACATGCCAAGTACTGGGCTAAGTACCTTAGACCTATCGCCTCACTTAAACCTCACAGCAAGTCTATGATCACGGCCATTCTCTAGATGAGGATGTAGAGTTCTGGGCATGTTGCTATCTCGTGACCACACAGCTTACCTGATTGCATAACCCTGGGCTCATGCAAAAAAAAAAATAATGTGCTTACATAATGTGCTTCCACTTACATAATGTGCTTCCTGGAGGAGTCAGACTCACAGATACGGGAAGGAGGATGGTGGCTTGTACCAGGGGGGGCAAAGGGCAAAGGGAGAACGGGGAGTTAGGGTTCAGAGGGCACAGTTCTGTCTGGGAAGCTGGGAAAGGCCTAGAGAGGGATGCCACTGATGGTCGCATTCTCAGTGGGATATACTTAACCACACGCTGTCCACTTCAAAGTGACTAAAATGGCAAATGTCGTATTACCTTTATTCTAGTACTGTGGGGGGTGGGGAGCTTGTAGGCTAAGCTATCATACTCCATTGCCATTTTTTTAATTATTTATTTGGTGGAGCGCCATGGCCAGGAGCCATGGACCCGAACTCAGTTTGGGTCCCCGACTTGGGTGGTAAGAACCTGATTATTTTACACAATTAATAGATAATTGGATTGGCGCTGTGACTTAGTGGGTAAAGCCGCTGCCTGCAGTGACAGCATCCCATATGGGTGCCGGTTCAAGTCCTGGCTGCTCCACTTCTAATCCAGCTCTCTGCTATGGCCTGGGAAAGCGGTTCAAGATGGTTGAAGTCCTTGGGCCCCTGTGCCCATGTGGGAGACCCAGAAGAACCTCCTGGAAGGATGGAGGTGGAAGGGAAGGGAGGGAAACAGCGAGATGGGTTTATTTATTGGTTCATTCAACAATTTTTTAAACAAATGTTTTAAGATTTATTTATTTATTTTAAAGTCAGAGTTATAGAGAAGGAGAGGCAGAGAGAGAGAGAGAGAGAGATCAATCTTCCATCCACTAGTTCACTCCCCAAATGGCCAAAACCGCCAGGATAGGGCCATGCAGAAGCCAGAAGCCTCATCTAGGTCTCCCACATGGATGCAGGGGCTCAAGCACCTGGGCCATCCTCCACTGCTTTCCCAAGTGCATTAACAGGGAGCTGGATCAGAAGAGGAGCAGCCGGGACTCATATGGGATGCTGGCATTGCAGGTGGTGTCTTTACCCGCTAGGCCACAGCATCAGGCCCTCAACAAATATTTAAATAGCTGCTGTGAGCTCATTACTGTTTTTGAGAGCTGGCTAAAGCTGCAGCAGTGAACAAGACAGGCCAGGATTCTGACAGTGGTCATCCATGGTTTGTTTGCATGGACACATCGTGTTAGAGATCAGAGAATCTGAATGGCAATTTCTACCCTTTATGATCCGTTCATTACACAGCCAGCTAAGCGCTCTGAATCTTCTTATGACAACTTTGCAAGTCCTGTGACTTACTATCTCTGTCTTCAGATGATAAACGCAAGGCACAAATAAGTTAAAGACGCTGCTCCCGGTGGCGGTGGCAGCGCAGACAAAAGCCTTAGCCTGCAAGCGCCTGCATTCCGACAAGGGCCTTTGTCTGTGGGGGAGCCTGCATCTTCCCGCCCCGGAAGCCACAGGCCCTGCTGTCGACTGATTATCTCCAAGCCCGCCTGCTCTCCACCGGCGCCCCCGCGCCCCCGCGCCCCCCGCCCTATCGCAGCCCGAGGTAGGAGATGCTCTCAAGCCGGCCTTCCGCCTCCCGGTTCCTCCCCGCCCCGCACAGGCCGGGTCCAGTCCCGTCAGGCCTGCTTGCAGAACCGCGCTGGGCTCTCCTCCCCAGGCCGTCCTCACTTGCCCAGTCTCTGGGAACACACCAAAGAGCGTTCATTGCACCAGCCAGAGGTGCTGGCCCTGCACCACGCCCTCAGATGCGTCCTCTCAAGGACGACATCTATGACGACATTCTGTTCAGTGATGGTCACAAGAATTGATTGATTTTTACAATAACCTATGGATATTTATAATAGCCTATTATTTCCTCCATTTCATAAGGGAAACAATATTTATAATAACTTCTCAATATTTACAATAACCTATTAGTTCATATTTATAATAGCCTAAGGGTTAATACTTAAAATAACCATTCCTTAAGGACTATTAATATTTACAATAACTTCTCAATATTTGCAATAGCATATTAAGACTTACAATAGCCTATTCATATCTTTTTTTTTTTTTTACAGGCAGAGTGGATAGTGAGAGAGAGAGACAGAGAGAAAGGTCTTCCTTTTGCTGTTGGTTCACCCTCTAATGGCCGCCGCGGCTGGCGTGCTGTGGCCGGCGCACTGTGCTGATCCGAAGGCAGGAGCCAGGTGCTTCTCCTGGTCTCCCATGGGGTGCAGTGCCCAAGCACTTGGGCCATCCTCCACTGCACTCCCGGGCCACAGAAGAGAGCTGGCCTGGAAGAGGGGCAACCGGGAAAGAAACCGGCGCCCCGACCGGGACTAGAACCCGCTGTGTCGGCGCCGCTAGGTGGAGGATTAGCCTAGTGAGCCACGGCGCCGGCCTAACCTATTCATATCTACAATAACCTAATGGTTAATATTTATAACAACCTATTAAATTTTTTTTAAAGATTTATTTATTTACTTGAAAGGCAGAGATAGAGAAGGAAAGAGAGAGAGAAAGAGCGATCTTCCATCTGCTGGTTCACTCCCTAAATGGCCACAATGTCTGGGGCTGGGCCAGGTCAAAATCAGGAGATGGGAGTTTCTTCTGGGGCTCCTAAGTGAGTGCAGGGGCCTGAGTACTAGGACCATCTTCCACTGCTTTCCCAGGCACATTAGCAGGGAGCTGGATTGGAAGTGGAGCAGCCAGGACTTGAACCGCATCCATATGGGATGCCAGAACAGCAGGTAGAGGCTTAACCTTCTACGCCACAGCTTTGGACCCTAAATTGATATTTCTAACAAACTCCTGACTAACATTTGCAATAACCTATTATTCCCCCATTTCCTAGGCAAGACCTCCCAATCTGACCTCGTCCCAGTTTGCATCCATTCTTTCAATGCTGGGAGGCAGCAGGACACAGCTTGGCCCTTGAGTCCAGAGCTGGGGACCAGACTGCTCTGTCCCTCACCCACCATCTGCCCTCGCAGCCTCAGAGTCCTTTTCTGTAAAAGTGGACTTGTAGAGGAAACACGGCCACAACCAGAGACAAAGGCAGAAAAGCGGACCCCTCCTCCCAACACAAACCTTGAAAAGCGGCCGATCGCCGTTAGCTAGTGCAGCAGCTGCCCAGTGTCATCTTGGCTAGGGAGGGAAGACGTCCTGAGTTCTGCTTCTGTCAACTCCAGTCATAAATCTCTCCTAATAAACCTGCCCCTGGTATCTCTTTTACAAACATACCAGACCCACCGACCATTGGCAGTGTGGTCCTAAGTCACACAGGCTGCAATTTAAACCCACCAGTGCTGTAACAGCTAAGGTATGATGCTGATGAACCTATGAATACTGTAAGAAACCTGGGACTGCTACTCAGTTCTCGGGAAATGACTCCAGCTGAGCCTGCTGGCGTAATAAACTGCTTGGATCCTCCACTGTTTGAACAAAGAGAGTTTTCCCACACCAGGTTTCTGTAACAGGCTAACCGTGGAGCCCACCCCCTAGGGTTGTTGTGTGGATGGAGGAAGACAATTCACTTGGCACCTGCCCAATTCAGAGCAAGTATTCAAAAACTAGCAGCAGGCCGGCGCCGCGGCTCACCAGGCTAATCCTCCGCCTTGCGGCGCCGGCACACCGGGTTCTAGTCCCAGTCAGGGCGCTGGATTCTGTCCCAGTTGCCCCTCTTCCAGGCCAGCTCTCTGCTGTGGCCTGGGAGTGCAGTGGAGGATGGCCCAAGTGCTTGGGCCCTGCACCCCATGGGAGACCAGGAGAAGCACCTGGCTCCTGCCTTCGGATCAGCGCAGTGTGCCAGCCGCAGTGCGCCGGCTGCGGCGGCCATTGGAGGGTGAACCAACGGCAAAGGAAGACCTTTCTCTCTGTCTCTCTCTCTCACTGTCCACTCTGCCTGTCAAAAAAATTAAAAAAAAAAAAAAAACTAGCAGCCATGGGCATGGCTGGTCATGCAGCAGGCTTCCTGCTCTGATAACCCCAACATCTCTGAGCCTTAGCAAAATAAAGATGGGTCCACTGCTCACGTGACAGTCAGTCCACATCGGGCGCTCTGCCACGCAGCAACTCAGTGATCCAGGTTCCACGGCCAAGAATCTTCAGTAAAAGGGGAAAGAGAAAA